GCCCACATGGTCTCTCGAGCTGGCCGTGCTCCTCGGTACCCGTGACACAATCGGAGTGCTGTGCTGCCTTGAGCTTCCCGCCCCTAGATGAACTGGCTCATTACCTTTCATCTCAGCCTCCCCCAAATTTTTAGGGCACAGACAAAATGTAGACAGATCCTTTGCCAGCGCGCAACACGAACGGCCTCTTGTCTGACCCCTAATTGCCATCTACCCTTAGCCACACGTGAACCCTCGTTTACCGCTCACATTCCTGTCAGCATTCTGGTCTTCTGAGCTCCCCGCAGAATGATCCATTCACCTCCATTTATGAGATTCTAGAGCTTCTCCAGCGCGCATCTCTGTAGCCTTTCCAAACGGCTCCCAGAAACCCAAGGCTTCTGAACCGTATCATGTACCACAACCCCACTTCTCTGGGATTGTATTCGTCAGCTTGGCTGTGCTGGAACAAAATACTTGACCTCCACAGCTCCAAAGAGAACAGGTTTACTTTGGCTCTCGATGCCAGTGGTCTTAGTCCTTCGGACTTGAAGGAAGAGGCATCATGGTGCAGGGGGCCCGGCAGAGGAAAGCAGGTCGCAGCATCACAACCAGCGGGCAGTAAGAGAGAGCATGGGGCGAGGGAAGACAAGATGTACCCCCCAAAGTGTGTCCTCTCCCCACCATCCCCCACGACATACTTTCTCCAACTGGGCCCACCTCCTAACGGCCCATTCAGCTACGGACTCGGTAGGACCGATCCACTGACGAGGTGGGATCCACCCCTGGACCCCATCTCTGATCTCTGCTGCACTGCCAGTCAGGCCCTCCAGACGTGGGTCTTTGGGGGACACCACCGCAGAAGGGAAACACTAACCAACAGATCCCCTGTGTGCCTAAGCATTAGAGATGACAGAAACCGAGGATCAGGTTCATGTCTGGCTGAGTCAGGAGCACAGCACCCACCTCTCGTGAGGAAAACTCCGAGGCCTATTAGGGCTGGAATAATCCGCCCCCTCGGGTGTGTTGGGAGCTGACCTTAGATAGACTGTTCCTCTCAAAAACCTCTAAAGTCCTGACTCCAACCGCCTCAGCCCCTAAAGCACACAATCCAAACACTAACATGTGGCCAGTAAGGACCGGCAAATATCCCGACTCCAGCCTGGCTCCACCCTCCGCCTTACCCTACAGAAACCTGTGCATTTCCTCAATAAAATGGAAGCTTCCAGAAACCTCCCTGGAGTCTGCGTGGTGATTCCGTGCCTGGCCCTCCCAGTCCGGGTCCCTGAACCTTGTTCCGTGAGCGGGCTCGCAGACGAAAACAACAGGAACCCGCCAAAGCAAGGCCCAGTCCTTCCTCTACTCGCTGAAGAAGGGAGCCTCCCAAACAGCCCACCATCTGCACCCAACTCAGGTGCCCACTCATGTCCTCTGTCTTCCCAATGCTGCGTAACCCCAGCCGTGCAACCCCTAGAAAGGCAGTGCCCAGAGTATCCGTGGGCAATCTTGAAGGCTTTCCAATGACCATGACACGAGACTCCCCGGAGACCCCGACTTCCCACTGTCATAAACGTGGGTAGAAAGCCTCAGCGAGCGACAGTCCCAGTATCAGCTCCAAGTTCACCTTGCTCAGCTCTCCCACGACAGATGACCCCTGACCACTCCCTTCCCCCAGACATCAAGGTCAGTATGGGCCCCAGCGGGCAACTCCTGCACCCTCACATGTGTTATGTCCATCTCTGTCCCCAAGTTACAGATTGCTTGAAATTTTTCCTTAATAATGAGGAGGCGGGTGACCCAGCCGCTAGGGCGGTAAAGATTGTTAAAAGGAAAAATTACTTTGGAACCTGGCACCACTAGTTGATCTTGAAAAGGGTTGCCATAGATTTAAACGCAGAAATCAGAATCATACACAATCCTAGAAGAATCCAGGGGATAAATAATTTGTCTATAATATCAGAGGATAGAAGGTCTTTGAAATGATTACCTAGAAGCCACAAATGGATTAATAAATTTTGCTTCCTTTAAAAAGAAAGTCCTGGCCGGGGGGGAAAACACTAGAGGCAAAACCAAAAGACAAATCAAGGGAAGTGTGGGTAACTCACCACAGACTCCTCCCAAGCAGAGAGAAAACAGCACAAACCCTAAGATGAATGGGTAAATGCTGAGAACAGATATTCACAGATAATGAGAATGGCTCTCAATAAAAGCAATGATTCCTAACTTCACCCACAAAAAGAAACCTGAGGGGGTGGGGGAGACCCACTTACTCAGACTGGGAATTCTTCTTTTCAGTTTAATAAGGTAATGTACCAGCCCGGGCGGCGGGCGGGGGAGGCGCAGACAGTAATCCCTGGTCCGAAGGACCAGAGGTGGATTAGCAAAGCCTCCTCCCAGAGAGACCCGGACACAGCCTGGCCTGGAGCCAAGAGGAGCCGCGCGTGTGGCAAGGAGAGGGAGGGATGAGCCGAACCTCACAGGCCAAGACCTGAGGAAGCCCAGGGGAGGCAGAGAGAGGAGCCTGACTGAAAGCAAGCAGCTGCAGAGACCGCAAAAGAAAGCCAGGATTAGGGGGAAGAGCGAAGGGGGAGGGACAAACACCAAGGCCCGGAGAGGGAGCCCAGGCCAGGCAGAAAGAGCAGAGGGTCCAGGATGGGGAGCCCAGGCAGAGCAGGGCAATGGCCAGTGCAGACGGACTGAGGTCGGGCAGGGAGGGAGAGAGAGCGAGCGAGCCCGGAGGCCGTCAGCAAATGCAGAGAATTCAACTTAAGGCTCAAGGCCGGGTACCGGGGCAGTGCCGCTCCCTGTTTCCGCAGGTGAAGCTCTGTGCTCTCTCAGCACCGTGCCAGCCAAAGGTCGTCCTCTCATGCAGACCTTCACCCCGGACCGGAGCTGGGAGCCCACCGTAAACCTCTTGTCTTTATGAGTCACGCAGCCTCGGGTGTCTCACCGTAGTAAGGGAAAACGGAAATTCGGGGCGTCTGATTTTTTGGAGAACATTAAGCACCAACCGTTTTCTCCAGATGAGGAAATTGAGACCTGAAGGCACAGAGGAGTTAAGGAACTTACCCAAGTCCACACAGCTGGGCAGGATTCACACTGTGGATTCTCACTCCACAGTCAGGATTCCTAACCACTCTGCTGTGAGACCGAGAGAGTGCGGGAGTGTGGGACAGCCAAGCGCAAGCTCGAAGGACGCAGGGACGTCCCTCGCCACGAGTCTTTAGATTCTTTACTACCTCCAGCTGCTGTCCATCGGGATCTGAATTAGTTTGACCTGTCTTTCCCAGAGGGCCCCTTTCTGTAATTCCCAAATATGCCCTCAAGGTGGCGGTGTTCCACCAGCCTACACCCACCGACCAAACTTCCTTCTCCGTTTGAAGGAACTATAAAAATTCTCCTTTTCTTTTGCTAAATTTATTGGTACATGTTAGGCATACAGTACGATAACATTCGTCATGGGGAACTTGTACCTTCACATGATTATCTTGGTTCTTATTTTCCCCCATTCCCCTGCCCTCCCTTCCACCCCTCCACCCCTCCCTGTTTACAGTTTGCATTTTTCCCTTTATCGCATTTGTTTTTTTTCCTTCTTTCCTTTCCACTCTCCCCCATTTCACACGATCCGTTACATGTTCTGATCCTCGTTTGCACTTTCAATTTCGCACGCCAGAGAAACTATTCGGTGAGGCCGCGCTCTTCAGCTATTCTTATTTTTAAATTGTTTTCCTCAGGTGCTTTGCCACGGCAACAGAAAGCCGACGGACCCAGTCCCCAAGCGGGCAGCCACCAAAGCCACTCTCCTTAACGTGCCGGAAGACGGACCGAGCCACAAGTCCTTCAATTCCCTGAGGCTCACGTTCCCCATCTAGGGGTCGTCCTGAGCATTACACCAGGTGAGGCTCCAAAGACCCTGAAACTCGGTCACTGGGCTCAGAAAACAGCATCCGAAGGCTGCTCACACTCACTGTGCCGAGGTCTGTGTCCTGTCTCATCCGACATCATCCCATAGTAATTCTACAAGAGCACATCTGTGAAAAAAATGAAGGAAACAGAAGCAAGGGGAGGTTTAGCGAGTTGTCCATGACCATCCATGAACAACCGTCCAATTTCCAGTTCCCTAACGTGGAAGCCTCGCTGTGAATCTGTTCACACCTCGGGTGGTGCCCTTGAGTGTGGAAGCCCTCACCAGTGGGCTTTCTGTCTCTCAGGGCAGCCATGGAGCCGCACGACGGGAGCTCCCTGTCTCTACCCAATGCAGGAGTAGCAGAGGTACCTGGATGTCTTCTAGAAAAGCACAGCATAAGCCAAGTAACTATTGGCTGTGTAACCTCGGGAGGCTCACAGCCCCTCCCTGGCTCAGCTTCTGGATATAGAACTGAGAGACTTCCCGAGGATCTAACATCTCCGGCTGTGGTAGACTGGGCTCCGGGGGGAGGGGGTGCAGAACCCAGAGATTCCCTCTAGCAAGCCATCACCAAACAGGCCAGGGCAGCCATCCAAAATCAGTCGGCCTCAGCAAAGCCCTCTGCAGATCTAAGAGGTCAGACAGGCCAACACAGACTAAATGAGCTACTTACTTGCCTGGCCCGTGGGCATGGTGAGAAACAGTGATGGTTTGCTGTCTTAAGCCATCCTAAGCATTGGGGATGTTTGTTACACGGCAGTGAACAAAGACGGACATTTATATGCGGTAGGTTTACCAGAGCTACCTCGGCACGGACACCCATCAGGGTTAAAGAGAAACAAACCTGAGCCAAGGGAGAAATGGAACTCCACACAACCAAAACCAAGGCCTTAGCCGACCCCATGGGAGCATTAAAAGCTGTGGTGCTTCATCAGACTTGTGCTGAATTGAAGCAGGTTTCCAGACACCATAAAAAAATATCACAGCCTGGGAAGGCTTGAAAAACAGAAATTTGTTGTCTCACAGCCTGGAGGCTAGAAGCCGGAAATGGGGCATTGGCAGGGCTGATTCCTCCTGAGGGTATTAAGGGAAGATCTTTTCCTTGCCTCCTCACTTCTGGCAGCTGCTGACAATCTTTTGCGACATCCTCGCTTTGAGGAGACCTTGGCAGATCTGGGTCTTCATCGGAACACGGCCCTCTCCTTGTGTGTGAAAATTTCACTTTTCAGGAGGGCACTAGTCCAACGGATCAGGGTCCCACCCTACTCCAATGTGATGTCATCTCAGCTAAAGACACCCGCAATTACCCTGTTTCCAAATAAGGTCACGTTCTGAGGTTCCGGATTCTATATCTAATCTACCACATGACCTAAACTGCTGTCTATGTCTATAGGTAGATGAGAGGTAGATTACAGATCCATAGAACACATCTAGGCACGAGTGAGGCTTTGGTAAGCCCACATCGACCAGGCGTCAGATGTTGGCCAGCTCTGGGGAGGGGCATAACTTTGGATATACCAGGTCCCTTAAAACTCAGGAAGGAGGCCCCAGGAGGACTCAGGTGTGTATCTCCGGCAGACAAGAGTCCTGACAGCTAGAAGAGTGACTACTGGGTCTGACGAGGTGTTCTCGATGTCACACGGCAATGTCCATTAGACTGAGCCCACCACCACAGCACCGACTCACCCACTAGAGCGGGGCCACTCCCAGAATCCACCACTCCACCCATGCCCATCTGCCCACAGCAGCACCCATGCAAGTAACGCCTGCACCACACCAGTGTCCTGTGGATTCCCAGCTACAATTAAGCCTTCTAGAGAGATGTCTTGTGTGTACAACTCTGTGGGAGTCACTGGGAAGGCACAATCCTTGGCAACACAGTCCACTTTGTGATGTTAGAATTGTGTCCCCCGAGATGGCCCAGCAGCCTTCACAGAGGCTGGAGAGCTAGGAAAGGGCCAAGGGGGAGGAATTAGAATGTTAAAGGAGTTGCTGGTGGAAGACATGGTTCCTGGTCTCACAGAGCAAGCTAGTTCCCATGAAAATAATTCTTCATAAGAGAGCTAGCCTGGCCCTTCCCCAGTCTCTGGCTTCCTGTCTTTCCCAGCATGAGGATACCCACGTTGTGAGGAAGCCAAGGAAGCCAGCCCTTCCCCGACCGAGCCAGCACCATGCTCTTGAACCTCCAGAGCCATGAGTTAATAACCCTCTTTTCTTTGCAAAGTATCTATCTCGAGGATTTTGTCACAGCAGCAGAAAGCAGACCGATGAGGTGCTCTGTGAGGGGAACTATATGTAGCCTAGAGACACTGTGTGATTAACAAGTATGATTCTGACAAGGACACACTGAGTCGCAAGACTTGGGAATAAGCTCCAAGAATCCAGGGCAGACATCCCCACCACCAGGCCGGGGCCCCAGCAACCCTGATCAACTACATGGTGTTCACATGCATAGGGGTTTCCAGGTGTCAGGGTAGCATCTCTGAGCACACAGGTCACATGCCTGCCCCACTGTCCTTGCCCGTGAAGCATCCTTTGAAAAATCTTTCCTTGGGGGAGAAAAAGCATTTCCATTTTCCAGGAGGCTTGTATTGAATTTCACAAATCCAGAGAGGTACGATATAGGCTGTTAGCAGCTGCATGGATTTATTGGAGAATGAGGGAACTGGACGGGGTGGGGACTGTGTGAAAACCATGTGGGACAAGCTGTGGAGGACTGGTGCTTCCTGGCTTTACCCTCAGCACAGGCATACGAAACGAGGTGTGTTGTCTTCCATAGTAGGAAGGTAGCGTGAGACGTATGGGAGGTTACTGCAGGTTTGGTCTCAAGTGGGTTTGACTCTGGGCTCGGGTGTGTGACTTACTTTGGGCAGTAGGACAGCAACAGATACCACCCAAGCCAATGTTTGGGTTTTGTTTTGTTTTGTTTGTTTTTGAGACAGGGTCTAACTATGTAGCTGAGACTGACCTGGAACTCACTGTGTAGCCCAGGCTGGTCTCGAACTCACAGCGATCCTCCTGACTCAGCCTCCCGAGTGCTGGGATTACAGGCGTGCACCACTAAGCCCACGCCCAAGCAGATGTTTGGCAAGCATCTACATGTTGGATCTTTGTCTTTCTTCCCTTCTGGGCCCACCTGAAAATGAGCCTCCTGGAAGATGAACAATCTCAATTATCCCAGCAATGATCTGAGTCAGGACAGTGAGGTTCCGACCCACCAAGCCCATGTGCATTGGAGGTTAACGTTGGATCCAGTAAGCCCATTACCAGGTCTGTCCAAAGGAAGTGAAGTCAGTGAACCCCAGAGACATCCACACTCCCGTGTTCATGGCAGTGCTATTGGAAACAGCCAAGAAATGAAGAGATTTTGTGTCCGTCAACTTGTGGAGAAGGAAAATGCGGTACACTCACCCCCTGGGATGTTACATGGCCATGAGGAAGAAACCCCCGTCATTCACAGAAACCATGGGGTACAGTGGCGTAAGTCAGGCACAGAAATAGCACAAGACCTCATACGCGACATCTAAATCAAGTAGGCGCCACAGAAATGGAGGGTATGCTGGCAGTTAGCAGACATGTGGGCACAGGAGAGAGGAGGGAGGGAGGGAGGGCCGGGAAAGGTTGTCAACAGACAGTTCCAGTTTGAGAGGAGCAAGTGTCTCTAGTGGACTGTAGACAACAGCAACGTACTATCCATTTCCAAAGGTAGAGGAAAGAATTATGAAAGTTTTCACGATAAAGAAATTGTAAGTGCGGGAGAAGATAAACAGGATGAATCTTCTTTGGATGTTTTACAATGTATATGTGTATGGAACCATTCTTATGTTTATAGGTATCAGTTAAAAATACATTTAGTAGGCAGGGCATGGTGGCACACGCTTGTAATCCCAGCACTCGGGAGGCTGAGGCAGGAGGATCGCTGTGAGTTCGAGACCAGCCTGGGCTACATAGTGAGTTCCAGGTCAGTCTCAACTACATAGTGAGACCCTGTCTCAAAACAACAACAAAAATACATTTAGTAAAAACCATAAAAGTTTGCTGTTGAAAGCCATTAAGTTTGGGGGATGTTTGTTACACAGCAAAAAAACCAAAAAACAAAAAACACAAAACAGCACATGAAATATTGTATGATTCATGAAAAGCCACGTGATGGTCTGAAGATGGGAAATCTTCCTTCTTAACCACTGTTCTCTGTGTCTGGCTCCAGGACCACTGTCCAATATCATCTTCGTAACCCACGCCCCACCCACCCACCTCGGGGGCCCATCTGCGCTCCCAAGATGACATTACAAATGTTTAACCACAACAAAAGGGTCCGACACCTTGAAGTAGAGCCAGCTCACTGGTATTCCCAGAGTGAACTCCTTTTCAGACCGTATCACGAGGAAGCCCACAAAACCTCAGGGAGGCAAAAATAATGCTGCATGTATTTGACTTGTGACCACCGAGCCACCCCGGTGTAACAGTTAGGTGTATGTGTGTACCGATCACCAGAACTGCCAGCCGGAATTACTAACTTCAGAGTCTCGCACTGGAGGATGTAGGAGTCCGTCATCTCAGCATCCGGAACTTCCCAAGGGGTTTCCTTAACCCAGCCCACCCTAAAACCACAACCTCAAACAGGCCAGGCTGGACACCACACAAGAACAAGCGTATTCTCAGATAATTTATTCAGAATTTTTAATATAAACAAGTAATTATCCTGTATTTTACATGCAGAAAATTTTCAATTCCCCTCCCTCTAAAAAAGGCCTAGTCTATACATGGTGCTACTTGGCTCTTGTAGGAAAAACATTGAAAAAAAAAATGACAGTTGAGCTTTGGGGTGGGTTTTGTGTTTCTGAGTTATTTTCGGCAGAAGTGGTGGCACAGTGAATCCCGCGCCTTTGACGGGCAGGGCCGAGGCCACCCAGGCACACGAATGGAGCAGCAACTGACACAGAGTGTAACGACCCAAACAAGCCATTCCTGAATATGTACAAGAGTGCACATTGTGTCTGGGAGCCGTTCCTTCTTTCTCAGGTGGGGCCAAGAGCCCTAGGTTCATGATCTGGTTTCTACCAAGGATTTTTAGGGCCCACACTTAGATAAAATTTGGCCGGAGGCTGGTCTTGGACTCTGATGGTTCGCAGACAGTGACAATGAACTCACGCTAAGTCATTACTCCCCTCCCGGTCTTAGGGACAGGGACACATTTGCCTTAGGTCACAACTCCCGAAAAGTCCGTAAAATTCTTCTGTGTGTATTCTGAACAATTGTTGGTCTGTTCTTCCCTCAGCCAGCCTCCCATAAGCTGCAAATTAGCATTCGGAAGGACGTTTTCGAAGATTTTTTCAAAGTGGCACTACTCTGCGTACAGCCTTTATAAAACAATCAGCACTCCTCTTTCCCCAGCCCCAACAGAGCCATCATTTCTGAAGAGCCTAACGTATCAAGGACTCACCAGACAGCACCCAACAGACATCTCACCCCAAACGTCCACCCAAATAAACAGCTCCCAACCCAATGCGTGCATCTTAGGGTGCCTTGGTAGAAATCACAGCATTTTACGCACAGACCCTTGCATCAGTACCCACAATCTCAATCGATTTTGCTCAGCCTATACCTAGAGAACCAGTAATTACTTCTGCACTGTACCAACTTCAAATGACAGACAGAACCTAGGACAGCTCCCAAACCAGCCCACTCCCTGGTATGTGCTTGCTGACCCATGGAGAAAGTGATGTTTGGTGTTCTCCTCCCAGAAGGACTATGACAGCATGGATTCCACTGTGTCGAGAAAAAAATGTTTTATAACCGGGAGCCTTCTTTAAAAAATAAACCATGTCAACCCAATCTGGTTCCGTTGCTTTTTTTTTTTTTTATAACCCATCGCATCACTACGAACTCTCAGGACACTCTGCCTTTCTACAGCCAAAGTCCTGTTGTTCTGAGGTCAACGTTTCCGTGATAAAAGGAAATCTGTGGCCTTCAACTGCTTCTCTTTTTCCCTCCACGGAGCCACCGCAGACATCAGAATGAAATCGGTGAAGTCCCACCCGCACAAGGTGGGTCCAGCTCTCTACCCCTCTCCGGGGCAGAAGAGTGAGTTGGGAAGGGTAGAGTCTAAAGATACAAAACAGTGAGGTGTGCAGTGTGACAAAACTGTGCTGGCCCTGCCTGGAGCCGCAGAGAGGCTCTCAAATTAGCACGAAGTCAATCAGCATCCGCTGGAGGTCGGCCCGACCTTCGCACAGGGGTCCAAGGTTCTGTTGCTAAAAAACGCATTCCATACACGGATGAGTTTCAGATTGGGGTTTCCAGAAATGCTTCTTTCCCGCTCAGAGGAAAAAAAAAAGAAAGAAACATTGCCGTCGTTGTCGTGTGTGAGGTGCTCAAGAATAAAATTCATTCTGTTGACAGAGAGCATCTCCAGTCTGAAAGGAGTAGGAACAAACCACCGGAGCACCTGGGTGCCTTTGTTCTCACTTCGGGGGCACTTGGTGGGACGCGCGAGGCCCTGGCTGTGAGTCAAAGGCTGTCTTGGCCTCAACAGGACATGGGATCCGGCCCTCTCACCAAAGAAAGGTAAGACCGGGTACCCCATCTGTCAGATACATCATCACGGCCTAAAACTTGGTTTACGTTTGGGGAGCATGGGGTCGGCAGACAGAGGATTTCGCTTTTAAAATGAAGATTAAATGCAGGGAATATTGTCAGCCAGGAGTCAACGGATTGATGTCATGTGAAGGTCACAAGTTCTCCATCCCAACTTCCTCCCTCAAAATCCTTACTGGTCCTTGGCATTCAGAACCAGGTGATACCTATCTTCCCTAATACAGACTGGATCCAAACAGGATTCTGATGTGTCGAAGACGTCCGTAACTGAACCACATCCTAACAATACGCTGAGGTAGACTGTGCTGAAAAAAAAAAAAAAATCATACCCACATTCACCTGTTTATTTTTCCTTGATAAAAATTTACATGCACTCCATTTTTTCAAAAGTGATTTTAGAGTGATTTTATATATTAAAATAAATACTTTCCCCCAGTAATATAAGAAAAACCTTTTCTGAATTAGAAAAATGTGAAAATGGCTGCTACTGTCATATACGGCCACTACAAATTTACTACGAAAAGAACAAAATACCTAGATCTATGTGTGTCTTTAATTTACATACAGACCCTCTTCTATTCACAGGTCAATTTTGGCAAACGTAATTTCTGTACTCTTGCTTCTTGTATCCACCGTGGATGCTCCCCAGCCATATGTTGCATGCTGTAATTTCTCAAATCATCTAAATGCAATAGGCAATTGGGATGTGGGTGCACCTGTGTTCCTTAATCCAGAACTGAGTGGGCCTGGAGGCTGCCATTTCACATCTCTCCCTCAACTTTTCTCTTACGAAAAGAAGGAAGCAATCAAACACTTAGGAGAAAAATGCATGCAGGGAGAACCCCCGGGTGGTAATTTTGATGAATCCTTTTTCTTCTCTTGAGCAGCTGTGGTTCTTTTCACAAGAACAGGAAACAGTGGGTCACATCCAAGTGGAAGTCCTCATTGATGGGAAGGCCTTTGATGCTTTCTCCTCCCGGCTTGAAGTATCTTAGGGGATTGCAACATTATAAGCACCTGAGAAATATATTCGCTCAGGCACATCTGGCCCAGCTGCGGTCTCTGGGCACAGAGCAGCTCTGGGAGTTTGGCTCTGAGGATGGTCAGATGCCCCAAGAGTAGAGGGGCACCCACAGAGGGGCCTCTCCTTTGATATTGCTTAGCGTTTTCAAAGTCCGTCCATTGCTGTGGGCCTTTGGGATCAGAGTCTGTCATGTTTGCATCATAACCGAGAAAGGCACAGGCCTAGGAGGAGGAGTGCCTCAGAGGCATGGCACACACAGAGAATCCAGCACACAGGCGTTCTGAAGGGCAGGCTCGGCTCCAGATAATCACCGGCTTATCCAGGCGGGAAGCTTCCTGTGGAACTTAGGGCCTGAGCCTCACCATCCACAAATCCCAGCCACCCACATCCTCCATGTGGCCTCACGATGTCCAAAAGGGTTAGCAGCTAATGTGGCTAGATTCCCAGAAGAGGGTGCCTCTAGGACCGCACAAGGAGGGCATTTGTGCCTTGCTCCCTCTCCCCCGACAGGAAGACCCTCCCAACACCTAGGAGACGGCCAATCACTTATAAGGCTAATGCCAGAGATTTCCCCAAAATTAGATATGTTACAAATATGTTCTCAATCCTTTTGTCATCTCAGTTCTTTCTTCTTCTACTTCTTCTGTTTCTTTTTCTCCTCCTCCTCCTCCTCCTCCTCCTCCTTTTTCTTCTTCCATTATATTTTTTTGTTCTGGCTTTTCTGGTCTTCCAAAGCTCCACGACCACTCCAATCTAAACGCTTCTTGCTCAGCTCCTGGAAAACATTTTGTCACCAACGGGAAGGAAAGAGAAGACACCTGAGGCAAGATTTCTACACGAGGAGAATGTGTTGAGGACACAGCCTCCCGGTAACACAAAGGAAGGGCAGAAAAGGATGTGAACTTTAAACACACCGAACAGCAGAACCTTTCATGAGCCGATACCCAAAGCATCAACCCGGCATGAATATTTTACACACGCGCGCACACACACACACACACACACGCACACACCGGCAGGCTCTAACCTGGACGCACATGCTTACGGGTGCACACGTGTGTACGTGCACACACGCGGGGACTGCACACCCTTTCTCAAAAATATGAAAGCAGCAGCTATTGGTCAATTTGAGGAACTGATTTTTGTGAATAAGAAAAATAAAATAAAATCCTTTCACCTGGATGAGAAAAACACCTCAAAGCTCACCCTGTCAAAGCTTGGATTTCTCCTGAAACAGGGTTTTGTTTCTCCTTCCTTGCCAACTTTTGTTCCACAAACAAGATTTGTCTTATAGCTCAGACGCCAGCAAAAGAAAAAAAGGAAAAAAAAAAAATCTTTGTCAAAACAGGTGCTTTTTTGTTTTTTTCCCCTCAGTCTCCTACGGAAACAGAAAAGCAAAAGAAAAGGAAGAGTCCTGGTTTGAAACTGTTTGTGGCAAAACAGGCAGCAGCTGTGGAAACCCCGTCCCCTCCAGGTTCACAGTGAAATCCTCTGACGAAGATGGGTTGGAGCGGAAGTCACATCCATACGCTTCCGATGAAAAGACGAGCGAAACTGTCCGGGAACCGTCGGAGCTCCGTTTGACACGGGGGTAGAGTCGTGAGAGTCCTGAGTTTTCTGGAGGCGTCCAAAAACCAGAGGAAAGTAGGACGACGCGGGCAGCCCTTCCCCGGGCAGGCACTGTTAGGAAGGGCTGGACCGGGGCAGGGGCAGAATCCGCCCGTTCTTCCGGCCCCCGTTCATGTGGGTGTACGGGATGTGCTCGTCATAGTTCCGCTTGATGCCCAGCGAGGACCCTCCCTCCCGGCCCCCGGCCTCCTCCCTCTGACAGTGTGAGGACCGGTCCAAGGGCACGTTCTCCATGTCCTCGAACTCCACCTCCAGCTCCTCGCTGTCCGGGGCCTTGTTCTCCTCGCTGTGGAAGAAAGAGACTTCTGGGAAGCTGGGGTGCAGGTCGTCCTTCAGCAGGTTGATGATCTCCAAGAAGGTTGGCCGCATCTTGGGGTTAAACTGCCAGCACATACGCATCAGGTCCGTGCTGTGGGACAGAGGGACACACACTGGTGAGTCCGGTTGCCCGGCCCAGCAGCCCCACCCAGGGACACTGAGCTCTCACGGCAAGGGGAGGCCGTGTGAGGCTCAACATCAAGGCAGAAACGGCAATTCTAGGGGTGCTGAAGAGTCTTGTTTCTGTCGCCCCAAACTGAGCTCAAAGTTCAGATCTGCCAGCCTCAGCCTCCCAGAGTACTGGGATTATAAGTGTGCACCCCACATCCGGCTGGAAGACAGTGCGGAAAAGAAATCTGAAATGCGGACCGGTGGTACTTGACTATAAGCCCAGCGCTCTGGGAGGCTGAGGCAGGAGGACAACAGGTTCAAGTCCAGCCTGTGCAACTTTGCAAGACCCTGTCTCAAAATGAAATAAAAGACTTGGGATGTAGCTCAGGGGAAAAGCCCTGGGGTTCAAGTCCCTCTATCAAAACAAACAAACAAACAAACAAAGCCAAAAGGGCTCTGGCTCATTCCAGAGAGTGGTAAAACATTGTATACATCCTTGGCTCCCAATCCCTGGGAGTCTGATGGGGTTTCACTCCTACCTGGGCCTCCTTCAAAGGCTGCTCTGTGCCCACCAGGAATTCTAGGCTTACACACACTTAGGGGTTGGGATGCCCGAGCAGTAGCAGGTCCAACTGTGTGGGTTTTACCCAGGGAGCCAGCTCCAAAGGGACACGCTGAAGACTCCTCCCTCACCCTCCAGAAGGAGACAGGAGAGGCCCTAGTCAGGGAACCAGGTGCTTCCTGGTGGGCTACACAGCCTGTGCTGGCAAGAGACGCCAAAGTGTCTAGCAACGCCCAGGGCCCTGCACCTCACGGGCTGGCTGCCCTGGGACCCGCAGGCTGTCGCTCAGCACCCAGAACAGGAGCCGAGGGCCTGTGTTTTCGATTTCACCCCCTCCTTTCACCACTCTGACTTCCTCCAGGGCAGCAGTCGGCCGACACCAGCCTCTGACCAAATCTGCCCCCAAGTATGTTTCTAAATAAAGTGTTATCGTCACAGGGTGTCATGGACGGTATCTTGAATGTCCTCCAAAAGTTCGTGTTGAAGGGCTGGAAGAGGCTGGTCACGGGCCGTGCCCTCCGAGGAGGTAGTCTGTCCCTGGCCTCCTCCGCTCTGGTCTCCTCTGCTTCCTGGCTGCCACCAGTTGGGCAGCTTTCTTTCTTGCGGCACATCCATGCCACCGGCCCTGACCCTCCCAGCCACGGCCCTAGAAACAACACAGCCAAGCAACCACGGACTGCACCCTCTTGGAACCGCGAGCCGGAAGAAATCTTTCCTCCTTTAAACTGATTTTGCCGGCACAGTGGAAAGCTGGCTTGTAGATGTGGTTATGGCCACCCATTTCTGTCACGTCCACCGTCTCCTTCCAGCTACCACAAGCAGGGTCGAGTAGCTTGGCCCACGAAGCTGAAAAGATTTACTTTGGGGAAAGCTGGTAAACCCCTGCCCCAGACCTGACTCAATTTTCCTGATTCTGGAATCATACCCGGCTTAAGTGCACATAGGTACGCAGATCCTTCATGATGAAATATTTGGAAATATTTTGTTAAGAGTTACCAAATCATGTCTGCTTCATACAATTTGTCATAGATGTCTTATTCTTTGGGGGAGGACATAATAAAATGATCTCCCGCCATAAAATTTCAGAAGCACCACTGAGCTAAATCCCCGGCTCTTGTTTTTTTTGTTTTTTTTTTTAACCTTTATTAACACCATTAGCGAGGGTGGGCATTTTTCCTAATGTTTAATGCCGTGCTCATATGTTGACTGTTTCATTCACCAAGAAAAATTTAAAACAAAAATAGTTTTGGGGGAGAAAACACAGAAAAATTTTAAGCATATAAAGAAAAAGGCAACTAGACATAGGTCTCTCATGCTCCCTTCTCCAGAGGTAACCACTGCCCTAGGCTGCTTTACAACAACCCTCCAAAGATGTGACGTGCAGGGAAAGCACACATGTAATGATGTGGAAACACGTACATGAATGCAGACACGTAATACGCAGAGGTGACCGCACATACGATATGACACGTAAGACGCAGGATATGCAAACCTCATCGTGTGTGCAAAGATCTGCCATGCGCGTGCAAGCACACATGCTTCTATTCCCTATGAAAACACGTGCATGCGTGTTGACGTGCCACGGGAACAGCGCACGCATGAAGAAGTCAGTGCAAAATGCAACACACAAACACAAACTGCACGTGAAATGTGACGCGCAAACACAAGAATGTGGTGAAGACAGACTGTTCAAACAGACGCACAGGGCCAGGGATTTAGCTCAGTGGATCCACCGCCTGCCTCGCAAGCACAAGGACCTGAGTTCGATCCCTGGTACCAAAAAAAAAAAAAACCAACCCAAAAAACAAACAGACGCACAGGGCCAGGGATTTAGCTCAGTGGATCCACCGCCTGCCTCGCAAGCACAAGGACCTGAGTTCGATCCCTGGTACCAAAAAAAAAAAAAACCAACCCAAAAAACAAACAGACGCACAGTAGGCAGAGGGCTTTCAAGTGCAGCCACGCAGGGCAACACACGAGAAGCAAAGCGAAGCAGAAAAGGTAAAGGGCAGCGTCTTTTCAAGGAACATCTTGCACACTGTGTGCCCCTTCTGCACTTACACTCTCTCTGGACAATTGTCGGGCTGGTCCAGGTACCCTCCATCCATGACAAATTTCAACACCTGTTCGTTAGACAGGCCTTGGTAAGGCTGTTCTGCCAAGCTGGTGATTTCCCAAAGGACGACACCAAAGGACCTGCCGACGACAGAGCAGTCAAAAAGAAGCCAGCAAAACATATAGACACACGCATCTACATGCTTCCGAACACTGTTGCAAACACACACACACACACACACACACACACACACACACACCCTCTCTTTTGGTTTGCTAGAACCCGGTTGGCGAATAAGTTAAGACAATTCGCGCTGCAACTGCGACTCGTTGAGTTCCTGTAAAAGATTACTCTCCATCAGAATGTAAGGATCCCCTTGCAAAGGTCCTCGGACAAAACACCCCTCGGCTTCCTGGGAGGGGAGACACGAAGCAGGCAGGCTTTTCCTCACCGGCTCTTACTGGTGGCCCTAGCAGATCCCCTGACCTCCGAGCCCAGCGCGTCTGTCCAGCAGCCCACACGCCACTCACCACATGTCAGAAGAAGTGGTGAAGACCCCATCCTTCAAGGACTCCGGCGCCATCCACCGCACGGGGAGCAGTCCTTTGCCTCCCTTCCGGTAGTAATCCGTCTCGTAGATGTCTCTGGTCATCCCGAAGTCTGAAAGCAAACCGCTCACACCCTCACGCCCTTCAGCGCGGGGCCCTCACACCTGCCGTCCTGACTGCTCCACCCCTCCCAGAGCCCTCAGAACGGCTCATCGGCCCCTCCGGTGTGTGTTCACCCGGGGGAAGGCCGTACCCAGAGTCGGCACTCGTGGGGAAGCGTAGAGGTTAATGTGGGACGCCATTTAAAGAGAGCAAAAACGAGGCACCAAGGGCAAAAGCAATGACGCGCTGGCCCCAAGCTCGGAATCCCATCTCAGTTACGCATTCTTCCCCGCTGGACCCTCACAGGGCTCGCCCCAAACGGAACCTTGGGCTTAGAGTTCTCCATCGAATACAGCCCTGCGGTCCAGCCGGCTGCCCAGCCGGAAGCCCAGCTCCAGGCTGTTCTTTGATCACTCTCTCTTCTCACATCCCACATCCAAGACAGAAGCCGATCCCTAATCCCTCCATTCTTTTCATCAATTACCCTGGCACCACCAAGTTCCACCGCCCTCTCTACCTGAGGCCCATCTTTCCCAGCAGACAGTGACAGCCCACGGCCCGAGAGAGGCCCAGTGAGAGCAGCACATCCCTCTCCACTCCCGCTGCTGATGCTGAGCATCATCTGGGACCATTAATGGGCTCATGCTCCTTCCTGATTCTCACTGTTGGATCACAAGTAGAGTTATGTCCCTTCTGGCTTCCCATTGGCCTCGCGGGACAAGAGCAAGATGACTTCCGTGACTGGCAACTCATAAGTCTGGTTCTTGCCTCCCAGCTCAACTTCACACGTGATGCTGCTGTCACGGTCCCCCACATTCATTGTGTTCACACCTTATCACCACCCTTCCAGCCCCCTGGCCTTTGCATCAGCGGTAACTCCTCCCAGAGGCTCTCTACCTCCTGCCAGCCATGGCTGACACACTGCCTTCTTTCGGGAGAGCCATTTCCTTCCCTCTACCATGGAACTTTCCCCCCACCCGTCAGCGCTGTGTACCAGTCTTCCTTATCTTGTTTGTGCAAGTGCGAACTACTTCCCTGGGTAGCTGAAGCAGCCCAGCCTCCTCCTGTGGTCATGGGCATCACTTATACTTGCACCCTCCAAGGTGGCGGCTAATAGTGGATTGTGGCTATCGCGGTGCTTGCCCTGAATGTTTACTTTAATTTAAATTCATTTAAATGTAAATGGCCACAACCAGTAAGGCAGTTCTGTGCCAGATGTTACAGATAAAGGCTCACGAGGGCAGAAAATCATGGTGACTTATCCCCACTTGCATCTCCAGCACCTACGGTTACGGCACCTACATGGTACACACGTGTTCTTGAAAGAAGCGAGTAGGTGAGTGAGTTCTCCAGTAAGTACAGTCGCATTACAGCTGGAAACTTGGGCCCCCACCCCAAGTCCTGCCCCCTTGACGCTATCGGAAGAGATTTTGCAAGCAAACCTAGTCTGGGCCATACATTTCAAAGCAGAGGGAAAACTTCCCCAGACAAACCTCCGATTTTGACAGTAAAATCATGGGCAACCATGCAGTTTCGAGCTGCCAAGTCCCGGTGTACGAACTTCTTGGCGTTCAGGTACGCCATCCCATCGGCAATCTCCGCCGCCATCTGGGTCATCTCTTGTAGGGTAGGGGGAGGGCGGCCAGGGTTATTCTAAAGTTGAGACACGAGGCGGTATTCAGCGATGCTGGTAGCCGCAGGACGGGAGCAGGTCCCTGGCCAGGGACCGAGACGCAGCTCACCTCAGACTCCGGCCGCAGGGAGCGGAGGTAGCTCTTCAAATCTCCGTGGGCCATCAACTCCATCACCACCAGGGTCGGCTGGCCCTTGGACACCACCCCCAGGAGCCGGACCTGCGGAGCAAGTGTGGGGCTCTTGGATGAGAGTCTTGGGGGATGATTTCAACTCACTGCGGTCTGTCCGGTGCCCAAGGCACTGCACAGCCCAGTTCCTGGATGGAGCCCGGTGAGTCCATCTGGGGTGGGGGGACAGACTCGTCACGCACAGTGACGTCCCAAAAAATCTGACCCCGAGTGTTTCTGAGCACGCAGGCACCTGCCTAGCTCCTAGGTTGTTCCTGTGTTCACCGTTCCCTCGGCCTGACTCCATTCCATCCCATGGCTGCAGAACTGAGTCCTTCACGTCCTTTAAGCCTTTGCTCAGATAAACTCCCCCCGTTCCCTCTTTTCACTGTTTGTTTTTGTGAGGCAAGGTCTCACTCTGTAGTCCAGTTGGCCTTCTGGCTCGGCCTCCTGAATGCTAAGATTGCAGGTGTGTGCCACCACATCTGGCTCTCTTGGTGTTTTCCCCTAACATCTCCCAGCACTTTGGATTTGGAACCTGTCCCCCCTACCTGCCATCCTGGGGGATTCATGAGGATGCACCTTCTGCATCGTGAACAAGAAAGGGGCTTAGGGGCTCTCATAAATGTGCGTGGCAAGAATGAAAGGAAATGAGGCCCCAAAGAGAAACCAAGGGTCCGTGGTGGGATCGCAAAGGAAAGCTGGGTTTGTGTTGGCTTCAAGGAGAAGTGAGAATGAAGTCAAGTAGGAAGGGGTGGACCCCCATGTGGTTTGTGGTTGCAAAGGAGCCAGGGAGAGGGACTAGGTGGAAGATACCAGAAGGCAAAGGAAAATTCTGGACAGCAATGAAAAAATTTGGAAAGTGATGAGAAATCCTGGAAACCCATGGAACATTCTAGAAACCTAGAGAAGATTCTAGAAAGTTCTGGAAAGTGAAAAGAGAGTACTAAGAGTTTAGTTCCAGGTGAGGATGGGATGGGATGGAGGAGGGAGGGGCTCTTCTCAAGATCTTTAGGACAAGAGGCTTCACCAGGTGGGGAGTGGAAAAGGGTTTGAAGCCAGGGTCCTCAGTGGCTCGGTGTGGAAGAGGTTCAGGAAGGGAAAGGACGTGAACGGAAGCCTTCGCCCCATCCAAGCCAGACTCACCACGTGGTGACATGTGAAGCCCTTCATGACAGAGGCCTCGTTGAGGAATTCGATCCTCTCTCGGAGACTGGCTGCCTCGTTGACCGTCTTCACCGCCACTCGAGTCTCCGCTTCACCCTTGACGATGTCCTTGGCATTTCCCTCATACACCATGCCAAAGGAGCCCTGCCCCAGCTCTCGCAGGAGGGTGATCTTCTCTCGAGGCACCTCCCACTCGTCCGGCACATACACAGAACACGGAAACACTGCTTCTCACTTATCTACACGGCATTCCTGACCAATCCCTCGGGGGTTCCCGGCCACCTCCCACTCACTGAGTCCCCAGTGTCCATTCATTCTGTGATCCAGGACCCGTGCCGGGCATGGGGTGTGCCCTGGAGAACAGGGCACTGGAGAAGGTGGCAGAGGGCTAGGGAAGGCGCCAACCCCAGTCTGAGGTCCTCGCCTGTATGTGTCCAGCCAGGCCTGCAGCCCAACCCCTAGCTGATTTCAGACTCCTGCTACTGAACGGCCCCACTTCCCACTGGAGCTATAAAGTGTAAAGAGGATGGAGAACGGGCTGTAAAAACAAGATGGCCCCAGTACTTGGCAATCCTTCCCAGGAAGGTGCGGATTCTGTGCCCCCATCCCTCGGCCCTGAACATGGCCTTGTGATGTTTGCTTTGGTTCACAGGAATCAACACATCCAACCCAAGCAGAGTTGTGGAGTGTGCCTAAGTCCTGGAGATCGCCCGAGCACCAACACCAGAATGTGTCCCCCGGCTCAGCCAGCCACTACCTGCAGCTCTCTACCCTGAGCCTACCATTTTGGCTCCAATGCCTGCCTCCCGGCGTGGATGGCAAGTCAGGACCTGGCTCAAAGGACAACGGGGCTTTTCTCACCCGCTAGGGGTGGAGCCAGCCACGCTCAGCTCTCTCTCGATGGCAGTGGGGGGCGCTGGTACTCACCGTCGCTGGCGCTGAGGTACTCAGGGTTTGAGGAAGCGTACAGCGGTCCCATTGGCCCATCCGGCTGTCTGGGGAGCAGAGGAGAAGGACAGCTTGAGAACCTCACAGCACTCTGTGGGTCTCAGCACCGGCCACAGCAGGAATGTTCACCCACGGTAAAGGCCCGCAGCACAAACCAAGAACGGGGTTATTTATCCTGCTGTCTGTCCAGACTGAGACTTCACAGCAAAGAGAAAGCTTTCCATGTGATCCTAAATAGATCCCATCGGCACGGGGACGCCTGCCCCTCCCTCACAGGCTTTAACTGCACTGTGTGCTTGCCTGGGAGGCACCTAAATGCTACACACTCAGTACCAAGCTAGAGCCAGCTTTCCCGGGCGGTGAGGAACAACTGTCGAATCAACCATCATGAATCATGAAATTACCCAGCACCAAGGGAGGCGGAGGTGGGAGGTCGCAAGTTCGAGTCCTGCCTGGGTGACTTAGCCAGACCCTGTCTCAAAAGCAATAAAAAGGGCTGGGGGTGAAGTTCAGGGGAAGAGAAGCCCTGGGCTTGACCCCCAGTACCATAAAAAAAATTATAGAGTCTCACAATTAAATAAGCTATACTAAGAGCCAAGGTAATAGTAATTAAATTGAACATTACGAACTCGGGGCGTGGACTTCTAATTATTCTACGACATTGGACTACGATCGATGCTGTTCCGAGTTTTCAGCATCATCCATATGTTTACACGGCCGTCCCCATACCATGGAAACTGATATTCCTCGTTTAATAATCTACCCAGCTAATGACCGGCCAGACTCACGGCTGCCGAGTCTCTAAATGACCTAGTCGCCGGGATATACCCTTGGTCATTAAATGCGGACTGTCTGTACTACATGAATGTTCCTCAGCGTATGATGGAGTCTCATCCTGATAAGCCTCCTGTAACCTGGGAATCTGGTGTTACAGATTCGGGAAAATTTATCAGAAACTCAGCTCTACTATACCTGATTCTAGGTGAAGGTTTCTGCATTGCCCACCACACACTTACCTCTTTCTCAGGAATAGATAAATACTCCCGATCACAACACTGAAGAGGAAGACGAAGATGAGGGGACCAATGATCATCTTTGCAATATTTGATGAGACATCTGCTGCAAGAGAACAAGAAAATACATGTTTCATATCCAAATGCACTCGCATCAAATTTCACATGTGTTCCTTTGTCCATTTTCAGTATTGGGGAAGGAACTCTGGGCCTTCACACTGAGCTATAACGCCAGGCCTGTCTATTCTTTACTCTGAGACAGGTTCTCGCTAAGTCACTAGATTGCTCGGTCTGGGCTCATCCTTGGGATCCTCCTGCCTCAGCCTCCCAGAATGCTGGGACGACAGGCGTGTGACACCAGTTTAGGTCGTGAGTGTCCCTTGGGGCCCAAGAGTTACAGACTCGGTCCCGGGGTCGTCCTACTGGGAGGTGCTGGAGCCTGAGAGAGGGAGAGCCCGGCAGGAGGTCACTGGGTCTTCACGGTTGTGTCCTTCAAGGGCCTTGTGGGACCGCGGCGTCTGTCTGTCTGTCTGTCAGTCTCTCTTCCTGACCATGAGGTGAGCAGTCGCTCTGTCATGCACTCCCCACCGCTGCTCTCAGAAACCCCCAACCCAAACCTGTTGTGCCTGATGGTGGATCCTCTAAAGTTAACTCTTTCCTCTTTATAACCTTTCCTCTTTATAGGCAAATTGTCTCAGGTATATGATATAGCAATGGGACGTTGACGGACACACCTGGCTTCCAAGAAAATACTAGGCTAAATAAAGGAAAATGCATTTTCCTCCCAAAGCACCCCTTTAAAACCGGCTGGAGAAATGTCACCTGGAGTCTTAGGATTTTTTTTTTTTTTTAACTCACACATAAGGTCGAGCTGTGTGTAATTATGAACGTGTTCACTCGTACACGTAGACACTCTGAAGCCGAGGAGGAAAACACGTTCTCAAATGAATCGCATTTTGCAAGATCTTAATAGCAACGCGCAATCTGACATAGCCTCCCACTCACCCAGCAACCCGGTACTCTGGGAGGCTGAGACAGGAAGATCGATAATTCAAGCCCAGACTTATCAAGACCCAGTCTCAAAATAAATACATTTAATTTTAAATTTAAAAGAAGAACATAAACAACTAAAAAGGGCTGAGACGTAGCTCAGGGCAAAGACTCCGGCTTCAATCCCCGGTGCCATAATAATGATACAGCAATACAGCAACGAGGGACCGAACACTTACTAAATGCCGGGTACGGCCTGAGGAGCCCCACACAGACGACGTTACACAATTGTCCCATCCACCAAGGACGGAGGGGTAATGACAAGCTCCACTGAACAGACCGGGGACCGAGACCTGCTGGTGGAAGCGGGTCCTAGCCCAAGTCCCAGAGCTGCTCCAGACAGACAGGGGACTCGAACCCGGGCCATCTGGAGCTGATCTTGACAATGCTCCTTAAAGCCTGCAGGGGGCAGCTCTGTCCTGAGAATTCCCTCCTCCGGCTTCTCCTAGGGACCTTGGTTCAAAGAATCACGTCCACACGCGGGAACCACGGTAAAGGCTCCGGACACCAAAGCTCTGAGGAGATCGGGCTGGGGCGGACACTGCCACAATGTGCACCCCGATTCAGTGTGGTACGGGCCTGGTAGCGCTGCACTGGGGATCCCCACGGGACTCACCCTATCAGTAGGGTCCTCATCTCTGGGTGGTGCCGTCATTTCTGATGTTTTTCAGTACCAGGCTTTACATGAAGCTACAACTCCAGACCCTTTTTGAAAACGTGCTTTGTTTCAAGACTGGCCTTGAACTTGGGCGTCTCCTGCCTTACAAGCCTGTACCACCATGCCCAGCTGGTGGCTCCTGACCTTTTATAAAACTGTCTTCATCACCGTGGCACTTTCTTGAGTCTGTAAGCCATTCTAACCAACTCTCAGCTCCCAGCGGTCCTGAGAACCCCAGAATATGCAAGCAGGTGATCGGAAATACGGGGGGGCCCGCTGTCTGGAGGGGGGGTGGCGTTGGAGATCACCGTGCGCCCAAGCTTTGGTCTCTGCGCTAAACCCAGGCAGGTTCCAGGTAGGCTTGTGCAGTGCACTTGGCTGCTATCAGGACAGTGCCAGCCACAACCAGAACCAGCCCAACCACAATCTCTCCCCCGCTTCCGCCCTCTCCTCGTGCCCAGGGGTGAAAAATGCAGCCAGGAAGCAAAAGTCTCCCCTCACCCTTGCTTTAGATCCCCCCTCCACCCGGTCTATAATCGTCCCCCAGCTCACCGCTCACATGGGTTCCTCCTGCAGTGGGACCGGCTGAACAGACCTCCCTCTTCTGCCTCTATGCACACACCCTTCAAGGTCTCAGCCAGGAGCACGCGCTAAGCAGTCTGCGGTCCCCACCCCTCTTCCCTCGGGGTGCCTTCATGCTCCGGATGCCTGCCGTACCCAAGGTAGAGCAGGTGTACTCTGCCCCCTTCCCCAGAGGACACGGTCCACCTACTAACAAAGGTGGACCCAGGCATGGTGGTACTAGCTTATAACCCTGGCACTCTGGGAGGCTGAGGCAGGAGGGTTGCAAATTTGAGTCCAGCCTGTGCAACCTAGTGACTCAGGGATGCTCTGTTTCAGAATTAAAATAAAGGGCCGGGGATGCATCTCAGGGCAGAGGCCCTCTGAATGAAGGAAACAAATATGTAGACACCAGCAACAAGAGCTAATACATCCCTCAGAGGGTCCTGCGACAGCCCCTGACCTCACGTCACTGAAACCCTTCTCCACCCCTGAAACGGATCCCGTCATCTTCCGAACTACAGTTATGCCTCAGTGTCTCCAGGACCCCTGGATACCCAGATCCAAAGATGGCCAAGTCCCGGGTATAGAAAGGCACAGTCTTGACACAGAACCGACCTGCATCCTCTGGCACCGTTCAAGTCATCCCCGGAAAACAGAGAATAGCACCAGCAATGGAAATGCTTTGGAGAGTCGCCACGCGGGGTTATTGTGACAGCGAGTCCTCATCTACGGCCTGTTCAGTCTGAGACCGCAGCGGCCAGGTGTACCCAGGAGATAGCGCGGTGCGCAAGAGAGGTCGGACACCTGGTCCGGGCACGCGGTGGGGACCCAAGCGTCAGAGCCAGGGCCGGCACCCTCAGCTCTCCCGGAGTCCGCCCAGAGCCAGGGGCCCACAGCGGCCCCTGGAGGCGGCCGGGAGACTTACAATAATTTGTCACGTAGAAATAGGTGGCTTCTGTCCAGGAGCCGTTGCCCGCCAGGGAGGTGGCCCGGATCCGCACGCTGTAGTTGCCCGGCTGCAGCCCTCGCAGCCTGCAGCCCTTCTCCAGGGCGTAGTGCTTCCGGGAGACACACAGGTGCAGCTCCTAGGAGGGAGGCGAGAAGGGGCTGAGCGCCGCACCTGGAGCCGTCTAGAGGGGGCAGAACCCACTCTGAGTCGGGCCCACGCTTGGATGCGGGGACGGATACAGAAAACGTGGTACATATACACAGTGGAGTACTACTCAGCCATAAAGAAGGAAAACTTTCAGTCATTTGTAGGAAAATAGATGCATAGTGTTGCGTGAAATAAATCAGACACACGAGCTTAATTATTTAATCTGGTTTCTCTTAAATGGGAACCCCAAATATAAATAATTTAAAGATAACAAAATAAAAAGATGATAGGAAACAGGGAGGTAGACTTTATGGAATTGGGAAGGGGCCTGGGATGGGCAGAGGGGAAAATGAAGGAAAGGAAAAGGTCAGGTAAAAACGTATCAGATGCAGCCTGTGTCTGTGCTAACACCCCATGACGGCTGGAATTATTACGTGTTGCAAGCATAGACCAGTAAAAATATTTTCTAAAAAGAAAACAGTCAAAGTCAGATCTGTAACCTCCATGAACCAACCAACACGACTAGGTGCCAATAATGCTTCGTGGGCACTAAAATCCGAACTTTGTGTAGTGCCACGAAACACTCCTTTGAAATTCTGAAATTTTACTTTCAACGGATGAAAACCAGCAGCCCCCGCATCTGGGCAGCGCGGGATTACTGTGGTACAGACACACACCCTGGAATGATTCGGGCAGGCGAACGGACACCTGCATCACCTCCTGTGCTTGGCATTTCTTTGTAGCGAGAGCATTTAAAACGCGTTATTTTCTAGCTTCATTTTCCAGCGTTTGCCTGACGGGTAACAGCTGAGCACATTTAGGAGGCACACAGCCATGGCTGCAGGGTTGTAATAATCAGGGTGAGGTAACTGGCCTTTCATCTCTTCCAATAGTCACCATTTCTTCGTGTAGGAATCTTCCAATCTGTCTCGTCTAGTTTCTCTATTAAAACACACGATAAATTGTTGTAAACTGTGCTATAGGACACACCGGAACTTATTCCTCCTATCAACTTGTATTTTGGTGCTTCGTATTAAAGCTCCCTCTGTTTCCCCTACTCCTTCCCTAAAAGCTGTTCTTGGAGGGCAGGGAATGGTTTTGTTTTGTGTAGGCTTCGTGTTTTTGAAAGAGGGTCTCACTATGTAGTCTCAGTTGGTCTTGAACTCTATGTAGCCCAGGCTGGCCTTGAACTCACAGTGATCCTCCTGCCTCGGCTTCCCAAGATCTGGGATTTCAAGCATGTGCCACGATGCCCAGCTCCTAAAAAGCTCTTCTTTTAGTAATTTTCAAATGTATTATTAACTGTAGTCACCATTCAGTGCCATAGATACCTGGAACTTTTTCTTCTTATCTAACTATAACATGGTATGTTTTGATTAACATCTCTTATTTTTCTTTTCAAATATAAACATGATTAGTATCTTATCACCTGTGACCCCACCCCACCCCAAAAAAGCAGTCCAGCACGGTGTGGTGGTACACACCTGTGACCTAAGCACTCTGGGAGGCTGAGGCAGGAGGATCTCAAATTTGAGCCCAGCCTTGGCAACTTAAGTGACTTAGTGACAGCCTGATCCTTACCACCCTGAAAGAATGAGAGAAAGAAAGAAAGAAAGGAAGAGAAACAGGAAGGAAGGAAGGAAGGGAAGGGGACACCCACAGGGGGGAATCAGCCCACCAGGTGACCCCTGGCTCAGATAATTAAATGATTTGCCCCAAATCTCACAGCACTTGAACCCAGAACTGTCTGGCTTCAAAACTTCTCCTTGCGACCACCCCACATGGGATATCTTGGCCAGGCCTCCTGCGAAGCCACAGACGGGCAGGAATCGACAGGCCTCACCAGCTACGTCACTTCCATCCTTTCCCACACTTCCGGTCTCTCTGCCTCCTCAAAACCATACAGATCCATGGCTTACTGTCTGGGGACAAATCAACAGCTCTTTCTTTGGCGCCCTGTTGCCTTTCGAGTTTTTCATCAACACAAAAAGAACGGGAATCCGTGTCAAGTTCTGTCAGAATGGCAGAGAAATAAAGTGGGGTGCGTACCCCACAAGAACCACGTCACCAAAGGTGAACTCTGGTCTTGCTTGGAGAGGCAGGAGGCTCACTGGGAAAAGTACTAGACCAAAACTTAGAAAACTTTCCAAAACAGTTTCAAAGCTAACAGTGCATGCAGGGAACTGGGCTGGAAAAGTTTAGGGGGAGGAGGAGGGTGGGGAAGAGAAAGAAATATAAAAACTCCCGAGCTTATCATGTGACAATAATCGCAAGAAAACAAATCAGTCTAGCAGTGGCAGGGGGTGGGGACAGGGAACTTGGGGTCCAAAGTTTCTTCCAAGTAGAATGAGTCACCCAGTAGGAAGGGACAAATAAGCAAATACAGAAATCAAAGATAGCCGACCTCTGACACAAAGGGGAAAAGTGCTCTCTAACCCGAGTCCTGTATCCTGGCTGGGCATCTTGAGGGGTGGAGAGAACCAAACACGACGGAAAGCTCCAGAAACTGAGAAAGTAACTCTCTCTAGACAGCCCCCCCCCACAAAAAAAGCCAAAACAAGAAGCAAAACAGGAACTGAAACTTGATCAAAGGTGAAGAAGCCGGTTGCATAAAAAAGCTCTTGCAAACAAGAGAGACTCAAACGGCCACGTGACACCCGGGGAAGGTCATGAGCACACAGCACAAGAACCTGTCCCAGGCCCGGGGCACCTCACCGGAAGGCAGGGGACGCAGTCAGGGGCCAACGGCCGACCGCAGTGCGGTCAGGAGAGAGGGGCTCTCTGACAGCAGAAGGCAAGGGTGCCCATTCCGCTGGCAAAAAAAGCCACACCTTCTACCAAGTAGTAGCCAAATTTTTTGTTAATGTGGTAAAACACACATTATTAAATTCCCCCCAAATATTAAATTCAGAAATAAACAGCGCATGGGCTTTCAGTAACTTTTCTTATAGTAGGTTGCTGTAATTGTTCTCGTTTTTTATTAATTGTAGTTTTTAACCTCTCGCTGCGCTTAATGTATAAATTAAGCTTCATCATAAGTATGTATGGAAAAAAAATCCAGACGTATATATAGGGCTTGCTGGTACCCAGACTCCAGGCACGGCTAGGTGTCCCAGGATATGGCTCTCCAGGGTAAACTTACTCACTGTACCCCAACAGCACAGAGTGCAGGTAACAGTGTAAAGCTCCGTGTTGCTGCCGTCCTTATCAAAGCAATGCTAGGCAAGAAAGGACAGAAAAGAAAGGCCGATGAGAAAGTCCTTAAGAAAGTAGCTGTCCCTTCACTTCCCCATCTCTGCTCTCCCCCACAGGGGCAGACACAGCTCGTGTGTGGATGGGAGGTGGGCGTGGGGCTGAGGTTGGGGGGGTGGGTTCCCAGCGAGGACCCCAAACAGTGACCTTCGGGTCCTGTTTCAGGAGGAGCCAGCAGAAGGCAGCAGGGAGAAGCTGCGGGGAAGCCAAAGGCAGTGTCAATGGGGAGTGACCGGCTGCCTCAGTTTCCCCAGCACCAGGGCATCCCCGGAGGTGACAGTTCAGTGTTCAAACCCAGAAAGTTGCAGGCAGGCGGGAGCAAGTTGGTCAGAGCAGCAGGAGTAACAGCAAGGACTGCACTGGAAGCTCCTCCAGCTGCCGGCACAGAACCTGTGTGCTCTCTGCAGTAACAGGGCCCTGGACAGCCACAGGTGGACGCTCTTCCTGGGACGGTGTTTCATGCCTCTCCCCGCCGCCGGCGCCCCAGTTCCAGGGCTGAGCTCGCCTGCCAGAAGCCACGCAGACAGCTGCCGCAGGAAGTGCACGAAAGTCGCCCCCAACCCAGCCACCCCACCAAACACAAGCCGAGGCCGCCGTGAGACACCGCCACCTCTCACGCCCGAGGGCGGCCAGAGCCGAGCAGATGGACGAGGGCAAGCGTTGGGGGAGGAGCGGAGAAACTGGAACACCACACGCTGCAGGAGGGGAAGTGAAATGGTGCCGCTGCTTCAGAAAGGGTCCGGCACCTGCCTGAAAAGTGAAATGCACCCCTGCGATTCTACAAATGTAGTCCATGCGTGCGATGGAATATTATTTGGGCATAAAAAAGGAACGGAGCACTAACACGTGCTACAACACGGATGAACCTCAAGGACACCACTGTCTGTGAGAGAAGCCAGACCCAAAAGATCACACACTGTATGGTCTGTTTATATGAGATATCCAGAGCACGCAACTCCACAGTAACAGAGACCAGATTACTGGCTGCCAGGGACTGGAGGAGAGATGAAGAGAGATTAGCAGAGGGATGATGGGTTAAAAAAGGGCAGTTTCTTTTTGGAGTTCTGAAATGGATTGTGGTGATGGGGCACAACTAAACATTATGAATGTATTAAAAACTGAACTGAACATTGTCAGTGGATAAATTTCAGAGCATGTAAACTATATCTCAACAAAACTGTTTTTAAAAAGCCTGAGCCCGAGCCAGTCAGCACACAGTACTCTGCTACATGACTGGTTCCTGAGTGTCACATGACCACAGCTTGGCAGAGAATGCTGGGATAGATTGTCTCCACAACTTGGTATGGCATTGAAGGGAGTTGAGTTTTGGCTCTGCAAACAGGACAGCCTGGCGCCGCTGGGCTCACTACAAAGAGCATTAAGATGCAACTAGCATGAAGGAATCCGGAGTCTCCGTTGTAAATACAGTGCTACCTCGGTTCACGAATTTAATTCTTTCCACGATTCTGGTCACCAACCGAACTGGACAAGAACCGAATCAAATCTCCCCATAAGGTCGACAATGAAGCTAACCCCTGAATCTGTAGCGGTGAATATCAACGGTGCACGCTGTAATCCCAGGACTCTGGAGGCTGAGGCAACAGGATGACAAGATCAAGGTCAAATGGGGCTACATAGTGAGTTCAAGGTCAACCCGAACTACTCAGTGAGACCCTGTCTCAAAGCAACAATGACAAAAAAGATGTTTAAGAAGGGCAACTCAGGCCATCCACCTAGCAAGTAGGACTCCCTCAGTCAGCAGACAATGACTATTTAGATTAGGGGGAGATTTTCATTCTCTGAAATCTAATTTTTCAGGGAAGGGTTACACACGGTCTACGCTGTGTCCTCCTCTTGATGCCTTCTGGCAGGCACTCCAGCCCATCTACAAACAGGCTGCGCACGCTGGTGTCCCAGTTCCCAGTCGCAGTTAAAATAACACCTGGCAACACGTGGGTACCAAGGAGAGGTGGCCTCAGCAGGGGCCCACAAAGGGAGGCCCGCCTGGTTACTGGGTACGAGGGGACTGTCTCAAAGTTCCGGAGAGCCAGGCAGCTTTCCTGCCACTCAGTGCAAGGTGTGGGCGGAGAGGCTCCCCGGCTAGGCGTGGTCCACCGCCTGTTTTTGTAAATAAAATTTTACTGGCGTGCAACCACATACATGCACGCCATTTTTGAGTCCCAGTGGCGGAGTTGAATGGTCAGAAAATAAACACTAGTTCACTCATCCAGTGAAACCCCGTGTAGCAATTACAAAATGGAATTCCCAAGGCTGTGTGGACAGACATCAGGAAAGCAAAAACAAAAACAAAACAGAAAAAAAAAACCTCACGAATATGGATGAAATGCCCAAGCAGGTTTATGCTAAAAGGAAGCTTTTCTGAGTTCTGACTTCCTTGGATTTGTATGCAGATTGTTTTTACAGACCTTAGGCAGTGACTTAAACTCTGGAAGCTTTAGATATCAACTCACTGCAATACTCTGAGGTTTTATGGTATTTTGCTAATTTCAGAAAGCGTATTATGTCCATCTGGACCTTCCTGGAAAAAAAAATGGAATCCACCTTGCAGTTTTACCATCAGCAGCCCTACTTTCTTTCTTAATGGTCCATAAAAATAATGGAGATTCTTATAACGTCTTGGATGTGACAAAATAAGACATGAAATTCGGGATCTAAAGCACTCAATATGCACGGAGCAAGCAGCGAGCCCTCAGAAGAGCTTAGATATCGTTTGGGTTTTTCATACTGGAGTCTATCTCTTAATGTATTCTGTGTTCACCCATCAACTCACACAGTGTCTGATACCGGAGGGAGACACCCAGCAGAGTCACGAGGAAGGTTTGAAGTGACTCACTTCCAGACGCAGCTAAGTCTCTAAAATGAACGGAGTCCCTTGTCTGGTCAAGAGAGACAAACACAACCATCACCCGATCGGAGGGTGCGGAGGAAAAGCAATGTTAAGAACTCAGGAAAGAAAAGTTTGTGGGCTGGGGTTTCCAGCCCATCTCCCTGAAAGCCATCCGGCGAGGCTCTGAGTCCTGGTGAGACAGGAACCAGGGAGAGGAGCTCTGGGGGCCGGAACAGAAGCAGGAAAAGGGCGTCCTTAGGATGTTTGAAGGCCATGACCCAGGGTCGAGACCCTTACCTCTTCCCCGTACCGCCGGTAACTGACTTCATACAGCACGATCAGGCCATTGGGCTCCTTCGGTTCTTGCCACATCAAGTGGACGGCGTTGTTGTCGAAGATTTCGTGGGTCACGGGGCCCACGATGTCATCCGCCTTGGCTGTAAGACACAGCAGTGGGAGACTGGGAGCGACCCGCGCCTCACACCACACTTCCGCTACCAAACACCCGAGTCCCCGTCAGCTGGAACGGACAGAAACGATTTACTGCACAGGACCCTTAGGAAGAAACAGTGAGTCATTTTCTCCACGTACTTTTAAGTCAGAGCCATTTCGGACTCAACACACCTTGCAGAAAAAACAGTCCAGGGAGTTCCCGCAGACCCTGGCCCCAGCTTCCACCAAGAGGACACCCCACAGCAGTTTAGTACAGTCTTCTCGGGGTGACCCGCACCCCCTCAGTGCCAGGAGCTGGAGGTGCAAAGTCTCTCCTATCAAATGATGTTGTATTTGCATAGAACCTACGTTAGGCAGCAAACGATCTCTGGTGATTTATCAAACCTGGAACTCCAGCTTATTAAACGCTTATCTTTATTAAGCTGGTAGAAATTTTCAGACCTGGTTCACCGTCTTGGCCTTTCATACTTAAAATCAGGAAGTCAATTATCAATGACAGAACTTCCCCTAGGCGCAAAATCTGTGCATTTAATTGCAAGTAAATGAAAATTCAGTAACACTGATTTTGAAAAACGCCGTACTAATTCGTTTCCCCGTGTGTACAGAGAGCGTCATGTACACGTACCAAAAACTGCAACGAATGTTAAAGTGATTCACAAACATGAACTGAAAGATAACAATAATAAAAATGGCGGAGGAGGGTCTAAAGATGGAGGGAGAGAAGACAGAGGGGAGGAAAGGGAAATAAAAAGAATCGAGATGTGTTCAGTTCATGCATCCACTTCCTAAGGCAAATGGAGATTTTTTGTTTGTTTGTTTGTTTGTTTGTTTTTGAGACAGGGTCTCACTATGTACTTGAGACTGACCTAGAACTCACTATGTAGCCCAGGCTGATCTCTAACTCACAGAGATCCTCCTGCCTCAGCCTCCCGAGTGCTGGGATGACAGGTGTGTGCCACCATGTGAGGCTATACTACAATTTTTAAAAACTGAAAAAAAAAAAAAAAAGAACAAAAATTATCTGTACAGTATGCATCCTTTTGAGTGCACAAAGCTCTGGGAGAATACACAAAAGGCCATCACAGCTCCTCTCAGCTGTTTGGAGTTGACTGGATTTGTTCTTACTCATTTCTGACTAATTTCTTGCATCCACTTGGCTGAGCCGAGAGGCCCAGACACAGAGTCCAAGTTCACACTGGATGTCTCTGTGAGGCTGCTTCTCTTCAGATGAGAGTAATGTGCAAGTCGGTGGACCGAGAAAAGCTCAGGCCCGTCCATACCTAATGTGGGTGGGGCCCTCTCTCTCCCTCTCTGTCTCTTTCTCTCTCCTCTGTTCTTTTTATTCTGTCTTCCTTCTCCTATTTCCTATTTCTCTCCACCCATCTCCTTTTTCTTCTCTTCTCTGTCTCTCTAACTGCATTCATAGAAACAGAAAAACACACCACACACACACACACACACACACACACACACACGTTAGTGCATCCCTCTGCGACACCCTAATACACTATAGATATATATTTCTTCACTTTGCTGATTTTTCTTATTACTTGTATGTTGTTCCTAAACTTTAAGTTACATTTACGTGTGAGTCTGATAATAAACAACAACAACAGCAAAATAAGCTGGATATGGTGGCATGTGTCTGCAGTTTCCATTGCTTGGGGGGCTGAGGCAGGAGGATTGCTAGAGCCCAAGAGTTCGCCCAGACTGGGAAACAGAAAGACCCTGAAGTCTGCCTCTGGGCTTGTGCTCGGCCGGGGGTCCTCCCGCCCCTTGGCTGCCAACCCCAGGTGGTGGCCGCACCTTCGGGCATGGTCCGGGCGCTGACGTAGGCGGCCACACTGCACCTCTCCGCCGGGGCGTCCTGGTTGCAGGCCTGCAGCTCAATCCGATAGCCAGTGAAGTGTCGAAGGCCGGAGATGACCAGTGATTCCTTGCTCACCACCTTCTCGAAGGGCCTGTGCTCCTCCTGGTCAGTGGGCACGCTGACGGAGGAGAGGTTGGAGAAGCCCGGCACCGAAGGCACAGCCGTGGTCGCGTTGGCTGCCTCAGCCAGGGACCTGCGCTTCCGGGAGGGCCTGCAACGACAAGAGGACACAGACGGTCACGCCGTCACCACCCTAAAACACAAGGCTGCGGGTTAGTTACTTTGCTTCCGGTCTTACTGCATTGGCCAGGCGTCCGTTAGGAACACGAGGAGATGTTAATTAGGGATGATGATATTAGACTTCCTCTTGCGTTTGTAACTCTAACAAGGATCACTTGGAGAATGATATTTGTGTGGATGTTAGATCAAATTTATGTTGTTAGATCAAATTTATGCCTATTTTTGCCTCCTCTCTCTCTCTCTGAGAATTTTCAATTAATGTTACTGAATGACAGTGTATGATTTTTGATGAAATAGATTATATTACCACACCTTCTTATCTTAAAGCATCCCTGCATTTCTGAGATGAACAATAGTTTTCCTCTTTTGACACATTCCAATCTAAAGGCACAACCTGCCAGGCGTGGTGGTGCATGCCTGTCATCCCAGCACTCGGGAAGCTGAGGCAGGAGGATCGCTGTGAGTTCGAGACCCGCCTGGGCTCCACAGTGAGTTCCAGGTCAGTCTCAACTACATAGTGAGACCCTGTCTCAACCCCACCTCCCAAATAAAGGCACAATCCAAGGCGTGGCCCATCGCCTTCTTTTAGTGTAGGATCTTTATTTTGTTCTACTGTTAGAAATGCTATTTTGGTTTCATAAAATAAACTGGGCTGGTTTTCAAAGATCTCTATGCTTTGTCATGGCTTCTCCAGGAGAGGCAATAGTTGTGCATTCAGAGTTTGAAGGGATTCACCTGTAAAACTCTCCAGGCCTGGGGCCTTTTTGAGAGAATGAGTTGACACACGTCTTAGCTTTTCCCAAAGTTATTAAACTTAATTCTGCTGTGCTCTCTTGAATCGGCGTGGGCATGCTAAAATTTCCCACCCTGTCGAAAGTTTCAAAACATTAAAATTTTCTTCAGATCCTACTTTTATATCATCTTCTTCGGTTTTGTATTTTTCCCTTTGATGATACTTACCATTGGCTTAGTTAATATTGATTTTTTTGCCCTAATACACTTGCATTTTGTTATTGCATGGTTCTTTCGGGGGATGGTTCCAGGAATGAATCCAGAGCTCCGTGCATGCTAAACAAGTATTCAACTACTGAGCTGCACTCGTGGCCCTATTTTTATAAACCCATTTGTATCACTTCTCAGCCTTTTGGCTAAGATCAAGGGTATAAATCCATTTATGCCTACCAATTTACGTTAAAGCTAAGCTCTGGCAATATTCAACAGGTTAAGCTGCACGATACTCATAATTTTATTACTTTCCAAACTGGCTCTAATAGAAATTTCAATTTCTGTTTTGACTCAATAGGTCCTGAAGGGGCTCGCTCTGCTTTCCGTTCAGACTTCTGAAGTTAACTTTTACTTTTATCGCTTTACAGTCAGAAAACGTGCGGTCAGAAAATACATTTGCCTGCAGGGGTGATCCATGACAGATTTTTTCTTTGTGGTGTTTTCGGATTAAAAACCAAAGCACTCTTGGACTAAAGAAAGAAAATGGCTCTGTTTGTCAAGACCAAGATATTATGCTTTTAAGCAGGATTCTAAATATTTCAGGACAGACATAAATGAGCCTGGCAAAAATGATCAATATCCTCGTGGCTCACCGATAACCACTGAGAAGTTTACATCGGAATGCTTGGTTTCCCCACACAGGCCAAACCTCTTATTCCTCATTTGACTGTAGTTCGCTTTACTGCATTTTCTACAGATTAAGCGTCTGTGGCAACCCTGCTTTGAGCACATTTGGGCACCACTTTTCCAGAAGTTCAGGAGGGCAATAGCACTGTCTAGCAATAAAGAATTTTTTAAAAGTAGAAAGCAAAAGCACTTCCACAAGACACAATGCTGCTGCATGCTAAACAGACTGTAGGAGCAACATGACTTGTTTGTTTGTTTGTTTTTTGAGACAGGGTCTCACTATATAGTTGAGACTGACCTGGAACTCACTATGGAGCCCAGGCTGGTCTCGAACTCACAGCGATCCTCCTGCCTCAGCTTCCCGAGCGCTGGGATTACAGGCGTGCGCCACCATGCCCGGCTAACAACTTTTGTGTTCCCTGGGAAACAAAAAATTTTGTGTGACTTGCTTGAATCGGAACTTGCGATATCACCAGGGTATGCCTGTATGTCTAAAGGATTATACCCAAAAAAGGCTACAGCGTGATACTAAAAGACCCCATGACTATCAGGTGAGTGAGTTGTCCACCTGCTGCTAGAAAGCACTGGACTCTCCTGCCAACGTCTTACATGAGACATCGGTCCGAGCCAGGGTGCTGTTATTGCCCCCACCCCTAGGGGGCATCTGACAGTATCTGCAGCTATTTTGTAGCTGTCACTATTGGGGGCGGGGTACAGCCCTCGTTTGGAGTCGCGGGAGGCCAGGGGTGCCACTCAGTATCCTACTGTACCCAGGCGAGTCCTCACCCCACGGGATGACCTAGTCCCAAATATCAATAACCATGAGATTGAGACATCCCGTTCGAGACCACGGCCACGAAACTCGGCCTTTCTGGACTACAGCTTATACCTCACATGGCCAGTAGAGGGCAGACCAAGAGCACGGGTGCCTGAAATCAAACAACAAATGATTCTGTGCTATAAGAAAATCCTCATCCGAGGCTCCAACCTGTCTTTCCATCGTACTTCTTAATCCTACCAAGATTTCATGATATTTGCATTTTTCTAATGGCCAGTAACGTTAAGCTTGTTTTTTTCCCCCGTCTATTTATTGGTCGTTTGTACTTCTGAAAAGCGTCTATTCATTTTACTTGTCCATGTTTTGATTTGGTCCTTTATTTGGGGGTCTCTAATTTCTTTGAGCTTTTTGTACATTCTAGATATTGGTCCTCTCTCCAGGGGGTAGCTGGTAAAGTTTCCTCCCGTTCACAGGTGGTCTTTTCACTCTGTTGGTTGTTTTCTTTGCTGTGCAGAAACTTTTTTTAACTTGTTAGGATCCCATTTGCTGGTCCTCGGTACTATTTCTCATGCCACTGGAGTTCTGTCCAGAAAAGCCCTTGCCTTCATCTGTGTCATCAAGCGTTGTGCCTGTCTGTCATCTTCCAGCAGATTGTTTTTAACATTTAGATCTTTGATCCATTTTGAGTTCAGTCTGATCTCCCTGCCTTTCCCCAAAGTCTCCTAGCTTGACCTCCCCTCTGACGTCTGACTTTCCTACTTTAAGATGAAGTGAGAAAGGAAACACCTGGTCTCTCCTCCGTGGAGTCCAGTGACATGGGCACCCTCTGCTCTTGCTGTCCCTTCTGCATCTTACTACACTGCCCGACACCAAAGGAAACGCTCATCAGGGAGGATGAGACTGGACTTCATAAAAATGTCCTGCTCCGGGATCCGTCTCCTGGAATCCAGTAGGAGCCGCTGGGCTAGGACACCTGACCTCACTTCGGACATGGTAGCTGCGGACAGATGCCCAGTGAGAAAATGCACGGGGGAAACAGAGGCATGGAGGCACGGAGGTCCGACCAAGAAAACACTCCTTAGATTCTATGTTTTAGAAGGAGGTGTTAGTTCAATTTTCCCCACATTCATGCCCAGATTCCATGTCCAAGGAAAGAGGCTTAACTGGTAAATCTGTAAAGCATCCAATCTCAGCCCGTTGTCACATGCAAAAGCCACAGAAACCCCTGCGATCTCCGAGGCCCCCCATGCCCCCCGCCCCACCCAGCCCGCTGGCCCTGCACTGAACAGCCAAGGGCCCACGCGGGTGTCCCCTGCAGGAGTCGTACCTAGGGTCCTGGGCACCACTGTCTGCAGAGGGATTTCTGTGAAAACAAAATCGACCACTTTGAGGACCGCTGGAATTCCTCGGGCGACCGACCACCTGCCATCTAGGAGCTCACATGCCAGCTCCGGTCTGGATGTGGTGTGATCGTGTCCCTTGGTCCTTAATGTGCCCATTACAGGGGTGAGGCCTTAAGAAGACCTGGGGTCTCCCTTGGGCTTCCGGGCTCAGCTGTGAGCTCTCTCACACTCATCCTGTTGTGATGCTGTCGGTTGCATATGACTAGCCAAGGGGGCTGTCTGACCCCAGACTCTCAGCCTCCATAACTGCGAGCGAAATGAACCTCTTTGCTCAATAAAGTGCCAGCTTCGGGTGTTTCATTATAGTAACATAATGTGGGCAAATGCATGCTCTCTACCCTTGACTTCTTATCACTGGCTGGTGGGAATGAATGAACCTTCTTGTGAATTCGGCGAGAGGCAGGGAAGTAAGAGAGAAGATTCCCGGGGACTCACGCGGCTGGGCCTCCTGGGATATCAGATCTGGCTGCCAGGAAGGACAGCCCACGCCCCTCTGGCTTTCGCGGCTAACACAGTAACTGCTTGGTGCTGGGCTGTGGACTACATGTTCTTTTGGAATCAGAGTCACAAGAGAAAAATGTAAGAAAGGAAAATTGTAAAAAAAGAAAGAAAGATTAACCCACTGATGATTCCAGGAAATATGTACTGGGATGAGCGGTGTTGGTGAATTTGAACCCACGCTGCAGGCCTGGGGGGGACAGGAGCTACTGGCATCCAGTGGTCGGAGACCAGAGATGCTGCTGAACACCCTATAACACAGAAGACACCCCACCTCCGAGAATGATCCAGTTCCGGGGGCCGGTAGTGTCAAGGGAGGGCTGGGGAGCAGGGAGAAACAAGAACCAAGACCTGTCATGTAAAGGTACAAGATCCCAGTGATGAATGTCACTATACTGTGTACCTAAAGAGTACCAATAAACTCAATAAAGATTAAAAAAAAAGAATCCCCGGGTACCTCATTTAATCCCATAGCCCTCGAATACAGGAATGATTACAATCGCACATACCCATGGCTTTCATCCCTGTGGATTCTACTCACTGTGGATCAAAAATATCTGAGGAAAAGCACTGTATCTGTGTTGAACAGACCAGAGTCTTCCTTGTGACACTATGTGACACGGTAGAACAACTATTTCTACATCATCTGCATTGCACTGGGTACTGTAAGTCACCGAGAGGAGGGGCAGGCTATGGGGAGACTGATTGTTCCGGACAAATGCCACTTGTTACCAAAAAGCCTTGAGCGCCCTCCTGTTCTGGTGCCCTCAGGGTCTTGGAAAGCCATTCCCCATATATACTGAGGGACGCTGTTATAAGGTCCACTTTACAGACAAGGGAACTGAGGCACAGAGAAAGAAGATAACCTGCTCAAAGCAGGGTATGGAAGAGCAGGGAACCCAGTCAGTGAGCTCCCAAAATACATTCAGCCTCTCCAACAGAAATGCAGAGAAACGTCTGTTCCCCCTTCCACATTATGTTACTATAATGAAACACCCGATGCTGGTACTTTATCGAGCAAAGAGGTTTATTTAGCTCGTCGTTAGGGAGGCTGAGAGTCACGCTCACTGCAAGGTCTGTGAATCAGATGTACCTGGCCCATGGTCTTCAGTCACCTATGGAAACTCAACCTATTTAAGCAGAAGAAGTCTCTGGGGGTTGATGATGCTATGGAAAGTTCTAGAAGGGTGAGAAGAGGCTTCCATGGGCAGAGACAGAGCACTGAGTGTGAAACTTGGGAGACTTAGGCATAAGTCAAGGCTGAACTGGGGGGTCATCGAGTCTCACAAATGTGTCCAAAAACCTACCTAGTAGAGTTTGTGAACCGCCTGGGATGGAGAATCGTGAGGTGTGAAGTAAAGAAAGCAAAAGCGGGGCTCTGTAAAACTTTTCCCCTTCTGCGGGTGACTCGCTCTCACCGGTACAGCTCCCGCTCGAATGGCAGGACATGTGCTGGGCCCAGGCTCTCCCCACCCTGCTGGCGGCCAAGGCCCCCGCCCCTTCCCCCGGCACCAGGCCGCGGGGCTCCCGCAGAGTCCTGACCTGGGCACGAAGACCACGTTGTGCAGATAATCCTCGAAAGTCTTCCTGAACGAGGACTCCTCCAGCTCCTTGAGGATCTGAGAGTCAGTCTTGGGGCAGGAGCAGCACTCGCCTGCCGACTCCTCGTACTCGCTCTGGTTGCGTTTCTGGGCGTCGTAGGACTCGAAGGGTGGAGACCACGCCCGGGAGGGCGGCTTCAGCCCTACGGGAAGGCAGAGCGGGGGTTCAGGTCTCCCCTCAGAGCCAGGGGCTGGGCACAGGGCCGGCATGGGGCTCGAGTTCCAATTTAACTTTGCAGGGCCGGGGATTTAGCTCCGTGGCTCCACACGGGCCTCACAAGCGCAAGGTCCTGCGTTTGATCCCCGGTACCGAAAAATAAAATAAATACACACACCTAACATGTTACCATCTCATCTAGAAAGGATGGAGAACGTCAAGAAATCAATAGCAAATGGGAGGCTGTGAGGACAGAGGAACCCTTCTCCGCCGCTGGAATGTAAATTGGTGCAACCGATATGGAAAGCAGTACGAGGGGTCCTCGAAAAACTAAATCTTGGAAGCAACCTACGCGTCCATCAACAGATGAATGGACAAAGAAAATATGGTGTTTACGCACGGTGGAGTACTACTCTGCCACGAAGAAGGATATGCTTGAGTCATCTGCAGGAAAATGGAAGCGCCTTGAGGCCACGTCAAGAGAAGTAAATCAGATACACACGCTGAAAATCACATGGTTTATCTTATATGAAAAATCTCATGTTATATATATGACATATATACAAATATCTGTCTATATAGATCCGTGTATGCTACACATACGTGACAGGTAATAGGGTAAAAAGAGAAACAAAGTATTATCATCTGGAATAGATTGAGCATCTAAATGTGTACTCGGGACCTTGTGCTTGTGAAGCAGGCAGCGGCACCATGAAGCTAAATCCCCGGCCCTAAATTTTTAAAATTTAACTTTCTAACCACTTTTCAGCATACAGTTCAGGGGCCCTGAGTGTATCTGTGAATGTAAAATCATCTCCGCTGACCATCTGTGGGACTCCATCACCCAGCCCTGAGCCTCCATCCTCATCGATGCTAAGCCCTGACCCCACATCCTGGGCACCTCAACATCCTCCCTCCCAAGGACCTCCTGGAACTGGAACCCTGTGACATCCACTTATTTATTCGCTCTTAGTGACTTTAGTGACTTCCACTTTCATTATGTAAACCTTGAGATAATCACACTAAAACCAGCTTCTAACAAGCCAGGCGTGGTGGTGCACGCCTGTAATCCCAGCACTCAGGAGGCTGAGGCAGGAGGATGGCTGTGAGTTCCAGACCAGTCTGGGCTACATAGTGAGTTCCAGGTCAGTCTCGGCTACATAGTGAGACCCTGTCTCAAAAAACCAAAAAAAAAAAAAAAAAAAAAAAAAAAAAAAACAACAACCCTAAAAACCAGCTTCCAGCATTTGCATGGTCATCAGAATAAAATCTGTTGCTCTTTAAAAGGACAGAAAACAAACAAAACAAAACAAAAAACAAGCCGGGCCAGCTCTGACATTGCTGGTGGCTTGGGTTCTGGCAGCAGGGCCAACAGCTCAGAGCTGCTCGGGCCAGGCCTGCCCTGAGTTATATAAAGCGCCGAGGAGCTAAATCACGTCAGCAGCTCCGGGCTCGCGGGGATGGCATCACAGGCACACATATAGCACACGGCCTTAGAGCTGGCCGGCTCCGGGGATCATCTGTCCTCCGCCCCCGCTCCCAACAAGGAGGAGGACAGAGGGTCACTTGCTCGGGGGCTCAGCCAATCCTGGGCTGAACCGGGAGCAGCCCCGGGCCACACCTCTCCAGCCCTGGCCCCTTCTCCCCCAAGGACAGGGGCTGAGGTGTCGCCTACTGAAAATAGCTCCACAACGTGCACGAACTAAATGAAGAAGGAGAGAGAGAGGGGAGGGGGAGGGGAAGGGGGACCAAGAGGCGGAGGAAGGGAAGGGATGAAAAAGGAACCAGGCTGCCTTCTGGGCAGGCACCACCTCCCCACCAGGACCACCATCGCTGTGCCCTGAGAAGGTGGACTCATGAAAACGAAAAGTAAAGAAAACCCCAGCTCATCTAATTTGCAGCACATGTTGACACTCGCATGCCGTGACTCACCCTTAATTGCTTTCCACCCCCTCCCTCCCCTCCCTCCCTCTCACGACCCCTGCCTCTCGGAGACAGACCTCTCTCCCTACTTCCTGTTAGCCCATGTTAAAGGCCAAAAGAATTATCACGAACATAGATTTTTAATTGAAAGCGTAAGAACAGATAAGAGGACGTGATCACTGCCTACTGTCTCACGCTTAAAAGGATCGGATCTTAGCCAGGTGTGCTGGCGGGCACCTGTCATCCCAGGACTCTGGGAAGCTAAGGCAGGGGTATCACAAGTTCAGGCCCAGCCTGGGCAACTTAGTGACTTAGCAAGATCCTGTCTCAAAATAAAAAAATAAAAATGAAAAAGGGCTGGTGATACAGGTCAGTGTGAAGGCTCTGGAGTAAAAAAAAATAACAAGGCCTTAGCCAGGTGCAGTGGCACAAATTTATAATCACAGCTCTTGGGGAGGCTGAGGCAGGAGGATCTGGAAGCTTGAGGCCAGCCTGTGCAACTTCCTGAGACATCGTCTCAAACTGAAATTTAAAAGGCAGGGAGGAGGGTTTAGCTCAATGGCAGAGCATTCGCCTAGCACACATGAGGCCCTGGGTTCCAATCCTTGAACTGAAAAGAACAAAACAAAAGGAAAACTACGGGGTCTTGGTGAGCCCAAAGTCCTCCTCCAGTTTTGCCAATAACCTCGCAACGTGCTTGGCTGCGTTTATTGCTTCCCACGGAAGCCTTGTGTGGGTTAATACAACTACATCCTCTTCAGTGTGAGGAGGAGGAGGAAAGCAGAGAGACGGGAGAAGATCCCAGAGGGAAATGTGCCAGGCTGTGAAGAATAAATCCACACGTCGTTTTTGCTGGGGCTACCGAGAAATTAAGTATTGGGTGATTTCATCCATGTGAACCCTAACAGACTGTCCTTCTACAAACAAAGGAGGCCACGATGCTACTAAGTGACGTGGTGTTCTCTGTTGACTGCAACCTCTGTAAAGTGTCCCCTGATCGTGCCTGGTCCTCAGGAGAGCCTTCAGAATGTGCGGCTGTGTACAGTGCTGAAAAACATGGCAACGTAGGCCCAGCACTCTGGGAGGCTGAGGCAGAAGGATCTCAAGCTGGAGCCCAGCCCGGTCAGCTCAGTGACTTAGTGAAACTGTGTTACAGTAAAAAACTGAAAAAGGGCTGGGGATGCAGAGCGAGGTGATGGCCCTTGGTTCAATCCCCAGTGCTGCCAAAAATAAAATAAAATATGTGTGGTTCTTCAGGAGATGCAACCGCGCGTTTGTCCTGCGCACACCCTGGAGAAAGTTCCTCGCGATTGCAGTGTCGCGCACCCACCTTTGAGGCAATAATCCAACTCGTACAGCTCACTGTCCTCCTCCTGCCTCTGCCAGTAAACCAGGTAGTGCGTGATGTTGCCGTTGGGGTCCGAGGGAGGCTTCCACTTCAAGATAATCTGGGACGAAGAATTCGACACAGAGATGGGGTCCAGCGGGACGGACGGGTCTGCGGAGGAGAAGGGACAGGACAGGCGGTGACTCCCGCAGGAGGGCGCCGTCCAGGTTACACACTTCCGCCCGCTGGGCCCCGGGGAGCATCATTAACTCCTTCCGCCGTCCCTGGAGACTCCGGAGGAGGAGAGGGCAGTGGCAGAGGAAGCCCCGGAGGCCTGGACTCCGCCCCGGGGGGCAGGGGTGTCCCTGGGCCCCGCGGGCACAAGGGGCTGAGAGTCCTTTGTCCACCTTGGAAGGCCCGCCCTGCACTGCGGGGGGCCGATGGGTGCCCCAGGCCTCCACCCACTACAGTCAGGGGCCCAGCTCCCCTCACCGGCCCCAGGGGCCAGAGGTCTCCTGAGGAGGCGGATCATCCTGCGTGGGAACCGCTGCTGCAGCAGGTCTGAGGTTTTGCAAATCGTGTAACTAACGTAGAAGCCAGCAGACAGATTCTTTCTACTTTGTGAAACATTTTAAACTTTTCCTAACAGGATGAGAAAATGTACCGCAGTGCACTTATCTATCCGCTGGAAATGTGCCCCTCCACCCTGGGTGTCTGAAATTATACAGAACACTGAGCCCCGTAGACTATAAGTTTTTTCTATGCACACACTCCTATGATAAAGATTAAACCATAAATGGGGCACCGTAAGAACGTTTTGGTTTGTTTTGGTTCGGGTTTTTTGAGACAGGGCCTCATTATGTAATCCCAGACTGGCTTCACGCTTGTGGCGATCCTCCTGCCTCAGCCTTCCCGGGGATTACAGGCTTGCACCACCGCGCCTGGCTTCCTTGGGTCCTTTAGAAGCTGGTAACCCCACAAACGAGTTCGTCATAGCCCACCTGGGTGCCACTAATCAAAGCCAAGACGTCGGGTCCATGAGCAAACTCAAAGTCGCAAGTCATACGTACTGGTGGCATTGGTCTGCACATAGAGGATGTCGCTCTTGGCCCCATAGGTCCGGCGTTCGTCAGAAAAGGTGACCAAGGTCTTGACGAAGATGGCATACTGGGTCCAGGGCTTGAGGCCCCTCATCAGCCACCCAGGGTGGCTCTGCAGCTTGGGGTCATTGGATCTCGGGGGCGGCTCGATGTCCACCACGGTCCAGCTGTTGGAGCCACAGGCGTCCTGCCCGTCAAACTCTGTCACGTTCTGATAAGGGCTTTGGGGACAAAAGCAGGCCAAGGTGGTTACCAGGGTGTGACGGGTGTCCGGACACCACAGAGAAGGCGCCCGGGAATAAGGATTCGAGGCCACAAGGGAGAAGGACCGGGAGAGGGTCACGGAGAGGGGAGCCACCCCAAGAACGACCGCGAAGGGTGATTACAGAGGTGCACGTGCACGCGCTCCCCGCTGGACCCATCAAACATCTAGAGAGGTGAAACTCTTATTGATATCGTCACCATGACCACCTCTGCTCCCTTTCCAAAGTTCAGCTGGCTGTGGTGTGTGTGCACAGCTGGGACCCCAGCAAGCCCAGCGGGCTGAGGCGAGGGGTCACACGTTCAACCCAAACCCGTCTCAGAAGTAAAAAAAAACAAATGTAAAAGGGCTAGGGGTGTAAGTCAGTGTGAAGGTCCCGGCTTCAATTTCTGGTACCAGGGGGAAAAACAAATCCCAGCACAAGCCAGGCACAGGAGGACACGACTGTAATCCCAGTACTCGGAAAGCGGAGGCAGAGGGACCACCAGGAATTCAAAATCAGCCTAGGTTTCGTAGCAGGTTCTGGGACAGCCCAGTCGGCGTAGGGAGGCCTTGCCTCAAAAAAACCAAAGAAAATAAGCAAAATATTCCAGCACGGTCCTATCTTCAGAAGGACTAAACAACACAACAAGATCCGTCTCAAAACAAAGTAAAATAAAAATTTTAAAAGGCCTCCCAAGGGAAAAGCGACTGCTTCTATTTCTGCCTTTCGGTGAAAGGAACCGCGGTTGACGTCGTACGTGACCAGCCGGTGGGATGGGAAAAGCACAGCCTACGGGATCTATTCCCGCAGAAGGAAGGGACAGAGACAAAGCCCGGAGAAGAGCCGAGAACCCCTCCAGCCACCTCCTCACACTTCTACTTACGCCTCTTTGTAGAACAGCATGAACCCTAAGAGGTCCCTGAAGTCGGGGGGCCAGTAGGGCTCCCATTTCAGCAAGATCTTGTCAAAGTTTGTCCGGATGGAAGAAAATTTAAGTAATTCATTTTCACCTAGAAAGTTAAAAAAAAAAAAAAAAATCAAGCTGCTGCGATCCTGAATAAGGCGTTTCTGTCCGCAGCCGTGTGGCCCACACTCCCTGGAGGGGCTGGGCACAGGGACAGGACGTTCGCTGTTCCCTGAACGGGTCCCTGCCTCGTGTGAGCTGAGCGCCCAGGATCTGGCCTTGCTGGGTGTGAACAGAGAGGAGGCTCCGGAAGGCAAGGTCAAGCCAGTTTGCTGGCCGGATTCTCAACTGAATAACGGGCGATTCTACCAGGGCAAGCACGACTGGCCCGGGTGAGGCGGGAAGATCACAAGTTCCAGCTCAGCATGGACAACTTTAATGACTGAGCGAGACCCTGTGTAGACATTTAAAAAATGGAAAAAGGACTCAGGATGTAGTGCCGTCCAAAAGCCCCGGGTCCGATCTCTAGGACCACCGAAAGGAAGAAAGAAAGAAAAGAAAGAACAGAACAGAGGCAGAAGAGAGAACCGGCCCGCCACTACCGGGAAGGGATTTTTCAGGGCAACATCTGTCTCGATGCAAGGTGGTCTTGAAGCCTGACTTGGTGGAGCTGACTTGCGAGTGCGGATGACTTCAGCCGAACTGTAGACTGTTAAACTGTGCAGGGACACAGCGAGGTGCCCTCCCCTCACGTCCATCCCAACCTCGCCCCACCATCCGCCTGGAGGAGGTGGCTCCCCGCGGGGGCATCTGACCCCAACAGCCCGTGCCCCAACGCCAGTGGTGAGCGGGGCCTCCGTCCTCCCTCCTCTGCAGACAGCGGTGACCTTGAGCGTCCCCTGCAGAAAACCCATCAGGAAGGAGCTGTCCCTCCCCAGCAGACCGGGGTAACGGCCAGAGGCCGTGGGTCATCGTCCGGTCCAGGCACTACTCACAGGATGCCTGGTCCCCGTTCGTCTTGAGGGCGATGTCGTTCCTCTCCTGGCGCCCCTTGGTTCCCGAGACTTCCTCCATCTTGTGGATTTCCGACAGGCACAGTTTGGGATTATAGTGGAAAAAGAGTTTCCCCTGGGTGATGGTGAGGTTGTGTTTGCTCCAGTCCCACAGCTGCCGGAGGTTCTGGTTGTCCAAGGCGTAGAAAGAGTAGTTCCTACAGAGACACACGAAACCCGCGTCAACGGCACAAGCCCGCGCTGGGGTCCTCGAAGGGCTTTTATTTGTCATTCTGTTTCACGTTTTATTTTTACTCAAATACTTTCGCAGTCCATTGTGACGGCACTCACGGTGGAGAGCTGACTCGTGCACGCAAATCATTCTTTCTGGCTCCCCCTCCCTGGCCCTCTGTCCCCCTTGCTCCCGATCTCGGGGGTCCCCTTCCCGTCTGCAAAGGATCTGTCTCCCTGTTTCTTACTGTGCATCTTCTATTTCGCTCTTGGATTGACTGACCCCTTGGGCTGGTCATACAAGACAGGCCATGGGATTTTTAGGCTCGCACGCCGGACTGATTTCACCGGACATGACGGCCTCAAGGTGTGCGCACTTTCTCACAGATGGCTCACGTTTCTCTCTCTTTGTGGCAGAGAAGTGCTGCGTGGTATGAAAAGACCACATTTTCTTTATCCGGTCATCTGCTGACGGACACAGAGTCCTCCGAGACGTAACTACAGCACGGTGACCGAACTCCTTTGGGGAGGTACTGCAAAGGGGAACAGCCGGGTCTGATGGAGTTTCTTGTTTCCGCTTCCTGAACCATCTCCAATCCCGCCAACAGTGGAGAAGGGTTCCTTTTTGCCTACACCCTTGACAGCATTGGTTAGCATTTGAGTCCTTGGTGATGGCCATTTCTCCCCGGGGAAAGAAGGGCTTGTTTTATTTTTATTCGTTTTTCTTTATTTATTTTCGGTACCGGGGATCGAACTCGGGACCTGGCACTTGCAAGGCAGGCGGCGGCAGCACTGAGCTGAATCCCTGGCCCAAGAAGCGCTTGTTTTACACCACCTCACTGACATCGTTAGCTCTGTGGCCCACAGTTAACCCAATTAGGGCCGGGGATGTAGCTCAGCGGTGCTGCTGCCTGCTTCACAAGCACAAGGACCTGAGTTCGATCCCCGGTACCAAAAAGAAAAAAAATCAACCCAAATCATAGGCGGCCAGCAGGTGATAAACGGGACGGGGCAAGGCCGCAGACCCACACTGTCGAACACAGAAGCCGAGTATCATGTAACAACTGGCTGCGTGAAACAGCGCCAAGTCACTCTGGAAGCAGAAACCATGATTTCAAAGATATCACAAAAAACAAAAACAAAGGAACAGATCATCTGGATAACCTTAAAATGACTTCCATGTTGAAATAACTCTGTGGGTGTTGCGGGCTGGGTAAGCTTTGGTGAGTCCAACCTCTCCTGCTTTTTTTCTGGATTTTGCAACATGTCTCCTGGAACCTTTAAGGTCCACGTGTGACTCGGAACCTCATTCTTCTGGATAACACTGGTCCCGACGGCCCAGCTCAGAACAATCCAAATGGAAGGCCTGAACTTTATCAAAATGGGCAGTGTGGTGGCAGAAAAATCAACATGAGCTGGCAAGTGAGTCCAGTGAGTGGTTTAAATACTAGCGCCAGCTGGCAATGTTCTTTTGTCCCTTTTCTCATTTCGTGCCTGTTCAGCCGAGGAGAGTGGAGAACAGGCAGCCATCTTGTGACCACGAGGAACACAGACAAGAACCCACATTCTCCACAGCAATGCCGAAAGCCCTTCCAAAACAGGGTCAGCGGGACCTCCAGGGGGCGCTGTGGAGTGGGGAGAGGTGTCCATCTAAGGGGTGTGGAGGTCACCTGGGGAAGCTAGAAAGACAGGCTTTGGTACAGCCGGGAGCAGGAGAAGCTGGTGCCCCTGGAGGGCGCTCAGGTGGGCGGTCACCCCGTGGCGTGCGGAGAATAACTAGCATGGATTACACATTTGGGGGCTGGGGCGTTTCACCAGCCGCTTCTTCTGAACAGATGTATTTTTTTCTTTGGTGTTTAAAAAACACAAACCTTCAAAAAGGTTCACAAGTTTCCCAGTTAGCACTTGAGCCACAAACACAGAACTAGGCAACAGCACTCACCCAATTTCCAAGTCCTTCCCTTGAATCAAGCGTAACTTCCGGAAGAAGGAAAGTGATACAAGAGCGTAGGATCGGCGGATCTTTAGATACCCTGAAATCTCCTCAATGAGGCCCAGGTTAGCCTCCAGCTCCGCGGCCAGATTGTCTATGGAAAGGAGAGACCACTCTATGAGAATTCACAGAAACATCTCAATCTTCCCCTAATTCCTCATGGTAGGGAGTTCACCAGCAGGTTGCAAATGATTTCCACATACCAAACCTTTAAGCTCAGGAAACAATCCAAAGTCCTTTCTGTCCCTTACTCCTGCCTCAGGACCTTTGCACTGACTGCCTCCTTCGACCAGAAAAAAAAAAAAAAGTCCCCCCCATATATCTGCTTGGCTTGCCGTGTCACAATTTCAATCCTTCCTTCTCCAGACCAGAAACTCCTTTCATCTTCTTTATTTCACAGGTTGGCAAGCTGTGGCCCACTGGCCCATTTCAGCCTGTTTTATAAATACGATTTTACCGAACAGAGCCCCTGCCCATGTTTCAACCTGAGCCCCTGACTGTGTTCAGGCTAAAAGGTCCCTGAGAACCGTGGATTTGGGTACCACAGAGTCTCACTGTGGAGCCCACGCTGGCCTCGATCAAGCAGCGATCCTCCTGCCTCAGCCTCCCCAGTGCTGGGATGACAGGGGTACACCATCACCCCCAGCTCGATCTGCTTATTTTTAAAATCCATCACAGTAAGCACGCGGCCTTGTTCCCTGTGAGTGCTCAACCCGTGTTTGCTGAACAAACACAGAAACGCCTTTTTGCCTGAGACAGAATTCCTGAAAGTTCGATCTCCAGATGCCTGTTTCCTGTGGGTTACAAAAATACACATTCCTGATTCCTAACTCCCAACTTGATAAAATAAGAATTTTTTTTTTTTAATTTTTTTTTTTGAGACAGGGTCCCACTAGGTCACTATGTTGCCCAGGCTGAGCTTGAACTTGTGACCCTTCTGCCTCAGCCTCCCAGAGTGCTGGATGACAGGCGTGAGCCACCTTTTCCTTGCTCTGAGCTGCCAAGGAACGCGATGCCCAGGGATGCCCGCGGTGGCCAGTCCAGCCCCGCCCGCCCCGCAGAGCCCCGCCCCGCGCACTCACTGCCTCCCCGGATGTTGATGATGAGGCTCCCGTTGATCACGGTGCAACCTCGAAGCTCCTGGGCCGACGTGACAGAGTCGATGGTCTTCACACTGTCCAGCAGGTTACAGACCTTGGGGCAGGGGCCCAGGCACGGGGTGCACATCAGGCTGCGCCCGGAGCAGAGAGAGAGAGAGAGAGAGAAACGGGTCAGGGCGCTGAGGGCACCTGAGCACCTCTCGGCCCCCTGGCCCCAGCAGCTGCCCCCTGCCCCGCTTGTGACAATGCAGGATGTCCCGGACGTTGCCAAGTGTCCCCTGGGCAGGAGCCGGAGGGGAGCGGAGGGGAGCAGATCCTCGCTGCATCCTGTGACGCGCAGACCACGCTTCCGCCCGCCAGGGGCCCTGAGCTACAGCGCTCAGGGCCACCACCGGTGACGGGGTCAGGACGTGGCCAAGGGCTTGAGCTACTCGAGGACACAGGGCACCTGCGGCTGCGCCTCCTCTGTGGCCCTCGGTGCCGACAGCCGGTGACTTAGGCAGCCCTGGGCGTTGCCTGTCTGCAGCTTTAACACCCTCAGATCCACAACCCCAGGCAGGGCTCCTGGACAAACCAGAGGCCCACTCACGATCTCAGTGCGTGACTGCCACGCCATGCTAGGTCCAGGCAGTGCACGGTCCAGGCAGGGCCGGTCCCCACGAGGGGTTTGCTAGAAAGTATCTCTTCCCCGTAAGCTCTTAGGAGGACACTGCCAGCTTGCTAGCATGGGGCCGTGGGGGGAGGGGGAGCTTCCTGGGGACAAAAGCAACAAGTGAAATAAAGGCAAAAGATGGAAAGAAACTGGACATGTGTGGTACTCGAGCTCCTGGATGCAGCTGGACCTGAAGCAGTTCCTGAATTCTTGGGCTGTGAGCACCAGTAAACGCCTTTAATCTTGCTTAAACCAGTGTGGGTTGGGATTCCCAAACCGCAAGCATCCCAACTGCTACATTCGCAAAGTCTCAGCCTCTTCGTGGGTACAACAGAAGCAAAGCCAATGCCTCAAGTAGAAAAACATTTTAAGCAGAGACTCTTTTTTGTTTTTGTTTTTAGGGGTTTGTTTGTTGGTTTGTTTGTTTTTGTGACAGGGTCTCACTATGTAGCTCGGGCTGGCCTTGAACTCACAGCGATCCTCCTGCCTCAGCCTCCCAAGTGCTGGGATAACAGGTGTGCACCACCACACCCCACTTACAGAAATGGTTATTCATCGCTCTGGTGATCACTACTTATTGTAGTATCTTCATTCCATGGTTACTTTCAGCTCTTCAGAAAGGTCTGGGGGTTAGGGTATGATAAAGGCTATAACCATCTCTGTGCGATTCTGAGTTCTGCATCTGGGGGTTCAACCAACCAAAGATCACAACCTTCCTTGCCGTTATTCCCTACACGATGTGTAACAACTATGTCCACAGGGCCTTGAGCTCTGATAGGAACCATCAGTAACCTGGGGGTGGATTAGGCAAATGCAGGTTACACGCCCCTAATGTGAAAGTCTAAAACCTGAAATCTCCCAAACTGGAAACCCCAGCCCTGAAATATGCCTTCCCATCATCCCTCATCATCAGAGTCCTGGACAAGACAAGGCAGCCTTGGTGTTGATTCATGGAAAAAAACCCTGTTTTTAAAAACTATCGTATAGGGCCGGGGATTTAGCTCAGTGGTTCTGCCGCCTGCCTCACAAGCACAAGGTCCTGAGGGAAGACAGGAGGAATCCTGCGGAGCGTATGCATGGCTTTAGCGTGATCCCATGACCAGCTTTCGAAAGCCCGCTGAGCCAGTGCGTCTAGGATGGAAACAGGAAGAGGAGAAAAGAGACCGTTCCAGGCCCCTGGGCTGCGTGTAAAGGGGCAGCAGGAGGAGCTGTGGGGGAACCTGGAGGGAGAGCGAGAGAGGGCGAGAAAAAAAGCAAGGATTTTCGACAGCCTCTCCCAACAAGGTGCCCTGAGCCCACCGAAGACGCAAACCTCCGGTCCGCTGTAGGTCAGGAAAGGAAGGGCACCCCTGACCCTACCGGGACCTTCGGGGTGACCAGAGGGTGAGCGTCTGTGTGGCTTCCCAGAGCCCCGCTGTCAGTCCATCCAGAACCGCATCCCAGATGAGCCACAGTGAACGGAAGAGATGCACATCTGGCTCTGATAGCAAACCACAGTGGCAAACGCAGCAACTCCTATACAGCCTTCCATAAAATAAAAACTTCAGAAGTAACATATAATTCAGGCTGGCGCTGAACTCACACTATGTGGCCCAGGCTGGCCTCAAACTTGGGGGAGATCATCCTGCCTCAGCCTTCCAAGTGCTGGGATTACAGGCGTGAGGCACCACACCCAGCTCACAAAGAATGTATTTCTTAGGGAGTTTGTTTCAAAATTTTCACACAACATCAATGCAAACATCAAAGAAAATTGCTATATATCTTAAACCTTAGTTATGGGAGGGGGAAATGCCTTTTATTTAAAATCAATGCCTCTCAAATAAACATCTCACCAGATGCCATTATTACTCTTTTTTCAAATTCGGGAGGGAGAGCAGAAGGAATGACTTTCCCAACCTTAATGTTAAACTGCCCCCTCCAAGAAAAAAAAGGCTCCATTCAGCATACAAAGGTGATTTATAGGGAACTATTTTTGGGTCAACAAAGCCATTTGATGTTTTCATTTCATTTTGTTTCCTAAATCAAAAATGAGTAAAATAAAACATACTGTACTTTCAGGTTCCATAAACACTAAAGGAAAGGTTCCTAAGAACCAAAATAAAAATTGTTTTCCTTCCCACCCTCTCTCCACCTAGGAAAATAAAATTTCCCACCAGAGTATTCTCGCTCGGCTAATTCTCAAGTCCGGATAGGAAGATTTTTTACGTAAGCAGGGCCGCTCAAGGCCTCCCACAACATATCTGTTTCCCATTTGTTTTTGTGTTGTTTTGTGGTGCTGTTTGTTTGTTTTTTTAAACTCTCCACACATTAAAAAAAAAAAAATCAGGAAACAGATTTTTTAAACCTTGGTTATGGCCCCAGACACTGAAATACCTCATCTCAGAAGCTAACAAAACATCTAGATGTGTGAGGAGATTTGACTCACAGCCAAGGAGAGAAAACGCTGCCATTTCTCACCCAAATGGAAGAGAGTGGTTTGTTGCAAAACCCCAGGGATACTGCAGGAGGAATTCTCCTCCTCCTTGAAATAGTGCCTCCTGGGTTAACCCCATCATAGACCCCAGCTTCAGCCGGAGGATACAAGAGGAACCTCAGCTATATTCTATGTTATTATTATTATTTTTTAAGACAGGGCCTCGCTATGTAGCCCAGGCTGGCCTCCAACTCAGAGGGATCCTCCTGCCTCAGCCTCCCAAGTGTCAGGATTACAGGATCAGGCCACCATGTGCAACAATGTAAGAGTGTAACAAGGTAATGATATAACAACGTAACGGTATATCCAGTCGTGGCTGTGTAACAAGAGAATACTGTAACAGTGTAACAACGAGGCTGCCTCATCCCTGAGGACAAGCCGCACAGAGAACTCCGGAGGAGATGAAAGTCTTCCTCCACCTGTTTTCTGTTCGGAAGCAAAACCCAGCGAGTTCAGAAATGTGATAAAAGACACTGCAAATATTTACTCTCTGGCCCTTGCAAGAAAAACAAAAACAAAAACAAAAAACTGTCAACATCTGCATTGAAACTCAGGACCGAAACGGGGGGCAAAAAATGGCACTGGAGAGATCCAAGCCTCTCACCAGTCAGAGAATCCTGCCAGCGTCAGCCCATTAACTCTGGCTTCGCACGCGGTATTTATTTATCTATTTGCAGCTCTGGGAATGGAGCCCAGCACTCACGCACGCTAGGCAAGCACTCTAGTGCTGAGCTGCGCTCAAGCCCTTCCTATTTTAGTTGGAGAAGACAAAGGTACCTACCTGACTCACCACTCTCCTGCCTCAGCCTCCCAAGGAGTTGGGATGACAGGTGACCATCAGTTTTAACCACCGTGCACAGCTCTCACCATCCGAACCAGCCCCCGGTCCGTCCTTCCCGCCCCCGCCCCGCGCCCCGGGACTTACTTGCTGGAGTTCATCGTGTACCCAGAGGGACACTCGGGGATGCACCTGCCGTTGTGAATGACGTACTGGGGGCAGCCTTGCTTGCGAGAGTTCCTGCAGCTATCGTGTAGGTCCCGGCAGAAGCTGAAGTTCACACAGCGCCAGTCCTGGAAGCGGTAGTAGGGGGGCGGGCAGGTCGGCACGCACCTGCCGTCCAGGTAGAAGTTGCGGCAAGCCACGCACTTGGTGGGGTCGTCAGGCTCGGAGCAGTTGCCCAGGCATTCGCTGTGACAGCAGAGGCCTTGCGCCGTGCAGCCGTGGGACTTGCAGATGGTCGGGCAGACTGCAGAGAGAAGGGCAAGGCAGCGGGTCAAGGGCTTTGCCCAGCTGCCGTCTACACACACGGCAACCCTGGACGCAGGCGCGGAAGCCAAGCACAGTAAGAACAGTCACAGCCGCACTTCCTCGGCACTTGTCACGGGCCGCGCGCCTCGGTTGACTCCCGGACGCCCCCGAACCGGTTCTGAGCTGGTGGATGCCCAGCAGACCCCCGAGGGAGCCGGCACAGAGGCCCTTACTCGAAGCCTCCGCCAATTTCCGTGGTTGATTTCGGGGTCCCCACAGGAAGCCGCTCAACATGGAGCTGGCAGAGATACACAGTAGCGCGCCCCGACACAGTAATTCCAACAGTACACACACTCTAGGCCCACTGCAGCTACAGTGTAACCTCAGGCCGCCTTAGAGCAGACCCGTGGGGTAGGAAACGGCCTGCGCAACTGCGGCTGTGAGGATCGCAAGTTCGCCGCCAACCTGAGCAATGCAGCGAGACTGTCTCCAAATAAAACGCACAAAATAAACATGTCCTTAAAAGCTCAAAGGGTGGTGCTCTCTGAGGTGAGCTTCTCTAGAATGTATGAGGCACTGGGCTCCATCCCCAGCACTGCAAAAAGCAAGCAAGCAAGCGAGCAAGCAAAAACGCCACAACCCAGAAGACCATTCACAGGCAACAGCAGTCTGGGCATAGACTTTTGGCCGAAGGGGCTTTCTTTTCCGACGCCACTGAACTTGTCCGCCCGACGAGGCAGGCCTGCAGTGCAGCTCTCGCTAGCAGTTTATACATATGCCCCCCCCACCCCCCCCGCCACTCCCCGCTTCCTAATTAGCCCTTCATTTCAATATCTTGGCATCTATGGGTCCTGTGTGCCCTCCCTCCACACTCCGTCCCGGGCTGTCAACAGACTCCTATGTGGGCAAAGCGGCCCGGAAGAGCTTAGGACCCACAAAGAACCTGGCCCAAGCTCAAAGGTGCTTCCTTCTCACACTTCCTGCAGAGCTTGAACCGGCATTTGGAAGCCAGGTGTGTCACCCCCTCAAAAAGCACCTGGGGCGTGGTGACACGCACTTATAAGATACCAGCACTTGGAGAGGCTGAGGCAGGAGGATCGCAAGGTGGAGACCAGCCCGGGCTGCTTTGTAACAACAGCAAGATCTTTTTTGAGTATGGAAAAGTGGGTAGGGGTGGGAGCGTAGCCTAGGATAAAGGCCCTGGGTTCAGTGCCCAGTACTGCAAGGGAAAAAAGTCTCCAGGCTCTGTGATTGTCACTCTAAGCCTTCCCGGCACTGGGAAGGTCCCGCTGGTCACACCCACGAAACAGAAATGGCCCTTGCACCTATGAGCAGCGATTGAACTTCCTGTGCAGACTGAAATGTCCCCCTCCCTGCACTGTCCAACACAGACGCTGTCACCCCTGTGGCTGCTGAGATGTGCTTAGTGCAACCGAGGAGCCAAACTTCAATCTGCCCTGTCTTGACTATTTTTCAGTACATAGATCAGGTCACGCGACCATCCCTCCCATCCAGCTCCAGAAGGTTTGCATCTTTCCCATCTGCACCTCTGTCGCCTTGAAACATGAACACCCTGCACCTGCCATTGACTTCTTGTCTCTGTGGGTCTGAGGCCTCCAGGGACCCCCTGTAGCAATCCAGTCCTTTGTCCTTTTCTGGCTGGCATCTTGCTCTGAGCAGTATGCCCTTGAGACCCATCCACAGTGGGGCATGGGCCAGATCTCCTTCCTTTTTCAGGGCTGAATTATATTCCACTTGATCGGTGGCCCATCTTTGTTGAACCACTCATCTGCGCATGGATGCTTGGGTTTGTGTCCGCCTCTTGGCTACAGTGACTCACGCTGCTATGAACGTGGTGCCTAAACATCTCACCAAATCCCTGCTTTCGATTCTTCTACCTATCAGAAGATGAACTGTGAAATTGTATTACTGATTGTTTTGAGCACCGGGGATGGAATCCAGGGCCTCACAAATGCCAAATACGTGCTCTACCCATGAGCTACACCACCAGCCCTAATTCTATTAATTTTTTGATGACCCACCATGCTGTTCTGCAGTGGCTGAGCTCTCTTATATGCCCACCAACCGTGCCTAAAACCTCCAGTTTCTCCCGAGGAATCAAACATGTTTCATTTTAGTTCGCTTTCATTTCCATTTAGACCGCACAGGCTTAGAGAAAAAGAGTAAATTCCTTGCCAAAGCCCACATGCCCCATGGGATCCAGCCCCTGCTGATGCCACCAACCCCTCTCCCAGGGCCAGATATCAGCAGTCACGGTCTCTTTCCTGTCCTCTACACACCCAGATGGGAGCACTCACCTCCCCAAAGGAGGTCGCTACTCCTTCTCAAGCCGTTTTCTAGCACATTATCTTATTCAAACTTCCCGCTAGCACTAGTTATTCCAGAATAGTTACCTTGGGTCCTTTTTCTTCATCAAGAGGAGAGTCCTATCAGCAGGGACTCTGTAGAAATAAGTGGCTCTAAGAAGCGCAGGACGGGGCAGAATGGGAGGAACCCACCGATTTCTGTGCAAGGTTTTTAGGATCTACATGGCATACACTAGACACACTTACTCCAAACAGAGACTCAGCAGGGAGGGGGAACATCATCATTCCACACCAGCCCGTCCCACCAAACCACCAGCCCTCTGGGGAAAAACCATCGGCCACAAAACTGGCTCCTGGTGCCCCAAAAGTCAGAGACCACAGATCTACTGGATTCGAAGTCAGGTGCACTCAGCATTGCTGGAAAGATTCCCGCACACAGAGCGGGGTGTGGGGCTGCACATCTCTGATCCCAGCTACCGGGAGAGGGGCTGAGGCAAGAGGGCCACAAGTTCGAGGCCAGCTTGGGCAGTCTGGCGAGGCTTTGCTTCAGAATAAAGTAAGAAAAAGGGCTGAGGGTAGAGCCCAGCACTCCTGGGGTTCAATGGCTACGTCATACCAGGAAAAAACAAGGTTTTTGTGGGCCGGGGATGTAGCTCAGTGGTTCTGCCGCCTGTCTCACAAGCGCAAGGACCCGAGTTCAATCCCTGATCTGGGGGTGGGGGGAGGTTTCTTAAAAAAAAAACAACGAAAAAAACGACCACAGAAAGAGATGGCAACCTCATTTTTTTTTTTTTTTTTTTTTTTTTTCTTTAAAGGGG